TTCATTGAGATGTAATTCATAGACCACACAATTCGCCATTTTAAACAGTATAATTCTGTGGCTTTTAGCATATTCACAAAGTTATGCAATTAATACCACTATCTAATTTCAGAACATTCCCATCACCCCGACAGTCAGCCCAGTCCTCGTTAGCGGACTCTCTTCCTTTCGCCACGTGGATGTCCAGCTGCCCCGCCATCATTTGTTGAAGAGAATATTCTTTGCCCCAGTGAATTGTCTTGGAACCCCTGTAAAAACGACTTTGCCGTTGATGTGTGGGTTTATTTTTGGAATCCCAGTTCCACTCGACCGATGGTACGTCCCTCCTTCCGCCAGCACCACGTCCTCGTTTGCTGGAGCTTTGAAGTCAATTCTGAAACCGGGACATAGGAGAACTCTAGCTCTGTTCTTTTTAACATTGTTTTGGCTATTCCAGATCTCATGCATTTCCAAGTGAATGTTAGGATCAGCTCGGCAGCTTCTGTGAAGGAGGCAGTTGGAAATCTGGTCAGGACTGCACTGAACCTACAGACCACTTTGAGTACTACTGCCATTCTAAGAATATCAACCATGAACACAGGATATCTTTCCATTCATAAGATTTTCTTTAATTTCTTTCAACAAAGGTTTGTAGTATTTTTTTAAGATTCTATTTATTAATCTTTAGAGGGGAAGGGAAGGAGAGAGGGAGAGAAATATCAATGTATGGTTGCCTCTGGTGTGTTCCCTGCTGGGAACTGGCCTGCAACCCAGGCATGTGCCCTGACTGGGCATCGAACCACGATCCTCTGGTTCACAGGCCCACGCTCAATCCACTGAGCTACACCAGCCAGGGTGTGTAGAATTTTTTTTTAAAGATTTCATTTATTTACTTTTAGAGAGAGGGGAAGAGAGGGAGCAAAGGGGAGAGAAACATCAAAAGTACCCCAACCAGTGAAGATCTGCAACACATCAATCTTTTTTTTAATTAATTAATTTATTTTTAGAGAGACCGGAAGGGAGGGAGAAAGAAAGGAAGAGACGTGTCAATGTGTGTTTGCCTCTGGTTGCCTCCCACACACCCCACACTGGGGAACCTGGTCCCTCAACCCAGGCATGTGCCTTGACTGGGAATTGAACCGGTGACCCTTTGCTTCGCAGTCTAGTGCTCAACCACCAAGCCACACAGGCCAGGGCAATTTTACTTCTTTCCTGTCTACATGGCTTCTATTTCTTTTTCTTGCCTTAGTCTCTGACCTTTTAAAATACAGCTTCTTGAGTGACTTGCCTCTTCTTCCCTCATTCGAAAAATTTTCTGGGAGAAACAGACGGAGGGTAGGAGGAAGAAGTAACCCGGGCTTTTAAAAATCCGAAGTTGTAACGGTGTGGTCCGAACTGATTTCCAGCGAGCATCGTACCCTCTCAGTGGAAGCGTCCTCCTTCATAGCACCTGAGCCCAGGGATCTTCTGCAGGAAATCTCTGGACTCTGTTTTTCTTGGGTTTTGCACACAAGCCTGCCCGAGCCCAACAGCTACCCTTCCTTGGCTGTTACAGAGCCGCAGATGTGATGGCCACGTTCCCTGTGCTCATCTCTCTTCCTTCTCTGGCCAATTCTTTCTTGCTGGTCAGAGGCAGAACACCAACAGTTCCTCTCACTGCGTTCTCTGGCTTATGGGAAATAAAACTGTCAGGAGACGATAGGTTTATCAACTGTTCAGCTTCTACCCCACAGAGACTTTGACAAATACCCTTCATCACATCTGAAGTCCCCTTCCGGGCCAGTGTTGTGAACCATGTGAGGGGAGCCCACTCCTTCCAGTCGTCCTCTCCCTTGCACTGGCAATCTCCCATCGGAAGCAAGCATCTTTTATTGACACTCAGGCTCTTTATCCACTCCAATCCTGGAATCCTTTTCGTGATAACAAGCCACACACGTAATTTCCTCACTCTTACCCTATTTTATTGGGGCTCCTAGTTTTCCCAGTTGTGGGAAAAAAGGAAGAGTAAGATTCCATTAAAAAGGCATGGAATGCACACCAAAGGCCTTCCATAGTGGCTTTATGATGAGGTCAGTGTTCCTCAGGATCAGTGCAGGCTGTTAGCAGTAACTTCTTTGGATGTGCAGAAAGCCAGGTAGAGAGAATCTGAAACTATGTAGACAGGTGCATCCCACAGCCAAGTATGAGTTTCTAGTGATCGGTGGCTACAGCATATAACACAGGCAGCCTCAGAGGAAAGAGCCACGGACGCAGGCAGGATCCAGGACGGTCAGCACCCTGGGCCAACCCTTCTGCTTCCCAGTTACAGTGCAGATCTCTAGAGTGTAGCTGCCCTTTTGTTTTTGTTTCTAAATATATTTATTGATTCCAGAGAGAGAGAGATGAAGGGGGAGAGAAACATCATTTGGTTGCCTCTTGCACATGCCCTAACCAGGAATTGAACCTGCAGCTTAGGCATGTGCCCTGAGTAGGAATTGAACCCGTGACCCTTTGGTAATACTCTAACCAACTGAGCCACACCAGCCAGGGTGGTAGCTGACCTTTTGTTTGGAGCTTTCGTCCCAGGAGCCAAATCTCATCCTAGCTCCACTATGAAAGAAAACTCAGGTCCCTGGTGCCTCACCAAGCTTCCTATCTGCCCTGATTTCCTTCTAACTTCACGGGTCCACTTTGTGCCTGCTACCCAATATCAAAGTCACTGAGGCCAAGGGAGGTCTCAAGAGCAAGTGATTTCTGACATGGTAACTCCTCCTTCACCCTTTGGTTGCACATGGCTCAGTGCCTCCTGAGAAGTGGACCACTTGGATGGAGTTTCCAGGAGTCAGATCTCAAAAGTCTTAAAGCTATGCTTAGCTATACCACAAATTCCACCAAATAATAAAGCAAAGAGTGAGAAATAGTATAATGCAATAGTAAATTGAAAAAAAGAGATCAATTCATGTTCCTATGAATTGTGTTCTCCTGACTCAGGCTTGCTTATTATCCAGGCTATGGGAGCACATCATGAACCACATCACATCCAGGTTGGTACAGCATCAACAAGTGCTCCCTAATCACACAGTCATAATAGAGCCCCTGTGGCAAAGACAGACAGGGGAACTGCCCGGGGTGCTGTGAACATGCCACCACTAATGTCTAAGATTACTATAATTATAACAATGCTACCTCCTCATCTTTTATCTGTATATTTCAAAAGGTCTACCTCCCACTCTTGTACAAATTGGTCATAACGCTTCATTACCCCCTATATTTAAAACTTGCTAGTATTATTGAGACCTTAAATGTATTGTCATCTTTCAAGATACCAGTTACTATAATATTTCTATGATTCATTTTGAGTGTCTAAGGTGACATATTTAATATTATTTTCAACATATTAATAAGCACCAAAAGAGCAATTTTGAAATTATTTTCTTCAGTTTTCCTTCACATTTAAGTTACTGTCTAGAGCAGTGATTTTCAACCTTTTCCATCTCACGGCACACATAAATTACTAAACTTTTGCAGCACACCAGAAAACAGTTTTTTCCCAGTCTGACAAAAAAAAAGTATAATTTTGATTCATTCACACCAGACAGCTATTGTTGCGTTGGCTGTTGCTATTTTATAATTTGACAATCTAAGGGAAAAGAGGTCAGTGCCCCTGACTAATAGTCAGGTATTGCCTATTTTAAAAATTCTTGTTGCACACCGGGGTGCCGTGGCACATCAGTTGAAAATTGCTGGTTTGGAAATATATTTCAATACAGTATATTTGCTTTGCTAAATTCATTCATAGAGTATATGAAGACCTATATTGAACATATTTCCTGTAGTGACAACTACTCTATTTGTAGGAACTATTTAGGTCACTGGAGTGGAGAAAAAGAGGCACTACTTAATAGAAATGGCATGTATCCAAATATAGATACAGTTTTCTGAACACCTGTTGAACATCAATGATGAAGAGATTGTAATTTTCAAAAACCCTGGACAAAAACCTTAAATGACCAGTCACTTTGTTTTAACTGACACAGGGTTTTAACCCAGGAAAATAAGTTTCTTAACCAAAGAATGGAAAGTCTTTATATTTCAGAAGCTTTAGAAGTAAAATAGTTTTTTCAAAAACCTGTCTCGGTGTCTATTAATTTTCCATCAAAAGTCACTTCTGAGGAAGCAATATTATTTGAAACTTAGGGCATGCACAGTAATTGTTTACTTTTGGAGGCACAGTGGACGTGACAAATATTTTTAGTTGTCAAGGGTGAACCACCCGCCTAAGAAACGGAAACTAAGGAGTAGTAATATGACACTCCCCTTTAGTTCCACTGGGTGCGGTTTGCTACCCGCAGCTTACTTCCTATGGCAGGATAAAGGTGAGGCTGTGCAAGAGGTTTAAGAAGGTAGCCTCTCGAACCCTGCCTCCACCACTGTGGTGGGGGTGGCCAGCCACCTCAAGGGCAGAGGGCACGGGCAATACCCTCTATTGTTGCCATTCATTCATTCATTCATTTGTTATGATCCAGGCACTGTGTTACAGGCTTAACTCTCCAGCTATGACTCACTAGACCATTCCAATACCCCGGCCACCAACTGTCCCCATTTTCAGCCCTAGGCCTCATTCGCTCATCAAGAAGATGCTTATTATAGACTCCTTCTCCCGGGTTCCCAGGCCAGGGTGACAGGATAAAAAGCCGGTCAGACTAGTGCCTTTCCAAAAGCAAGGAAGGAAGGTTCGTAGTACACGGAGAAGGGGTTCCTGGGATCATCCTGCCCGCGTGAGGAGAGCTGGCCCCCACTCGGGCGGCCGCGCCCTGGGGCGGGGCTGTGCTCGCCACGCTCGGACGGGGAACCTGAGGTCACTTCGATTGTGGAGCCGAGGGGGTTCTGTGAAAGAGGAAGTGGGCGCTGCAGGAAGCCAAAGGGCGGCAGGAGGTTAGAGATTACACGCGTACACGTGCGGAGGACCACCTCCACCTAGGTGGTGGCGGGGCAAGGGTCCCGCCACCAGGCAGGGATTAGGAGGGGGTGGGGCGCGTTACCTGATAAAAGTGGTCTTGCCCGTGCTGTACTGGCCCACCAGAAGGATCATGGGCTTGTTGTCGAAGTCTGCGTCCTCCAGCGCCGGCGAGTGGAACTCGTGGAAGCGGTATGCTTCCTCCAGTGGTAGCACCTTGCGCAGGTAGAGGGAACGAAGGCCGCCCGTCACCGTTTGCACGGCGTCCGCGCCGCCCGCGCGCTCACGCCCGCCTGCCTGCCGCCCCATCCAGCTGAACATCCTGCCGTAGGTCCGCGCGTCCACCGGTCCGCGACCCGCACTCGCACCCAACTCTAATGTTCGACCCTCCTTAGCTTGTACTGAGCTGTCCCAGCTGCGCTATCCGCCTCTTAAGATGGCCCCGCCCCATCGCCGTTGCAACCAATCTCCAATCGCAACGTCACGGGCTATCCTTCATTATTCAAAAGACTCCCTCAACTCCTTCCTCATTGGGCTGCTGCCAGCGCGTGTGGAAGTGTCAGCCAATGGAGAGGAGGTTCTTAATGAATTATTGATGACGGAGTCAGTCTGGTGAACTAGGGCTGGGAGAGGGTGTCTCTCCCGCCGGTGACGCACAACCGACATCCGAGGGATCTCGTTGGAGTCTGGGTCTCCACCTCCGGCCAGGTGGGATCGGCTTCCAGGCAAATCTGAGCTGGCAAAAAAAAAAAAAAAAAAAAAAAAAAAAAAAAAAAAGAAAGAAACAAAACAAAACAAAAAACGAACGTCCAGAGGCTGCTTAGTCTCCTGGAATGTTCTCTCCTCCCCGCCGTCGATACTGAAGACAAAAGTTCACAGAGTTGACAGGCAGGTTCTTTCTACCTGCTTGTAGGTTATTGTTACCTTTATTTTATTGGTGGAGATTGACTCACGGACATAACAGTCAAAATTTGAAGTAGGGGAAGTATATGAAATCTACGTGGGTACATGTTTTTGGTACTTCAACAAACTGCCTGCACTTAACTCTGGGTCGATTGAAGACCCTGTGCCCTTAGCTTTCTTTATTTGACTTTCTGTAAAATTGAAGATTTAGTCATCATTCTCATTGATTGCCAATGTCACATTTGACATGTAAAAGAGTTAATGTTACCTCCCAGTTGTCTCTTTTTCAGGTAAAAAAAACAACAACACTTACCTAAATTGAGATTGGAAGAAATAATCAGCCATCACTTTGGATGGCCTAGGTTACAGGGTTTGTTTGTTTTTTAAAGAATGTTTTTTCAGTTGTTTTAGAGCATTTCTCAACTGTGGTCCACAGAGCCACCTCATGAGAATAACCTGAGGTGCTTGTTAAAAGCGGATTTGTGGTCTTTACACCAAACTTGCTGAGTTAAAATAATAAGCCTGGGGTGGAGCTCCACAAGGGCCCCAGGTGACTCTGATGTGTATCCCACATTGGGGAAAATATGATGTACAGCAGTACTTCTTAAACTTGAAAGAAAGGCAGATTCTGACTCAGCCGTTATGGGGTGGGGCCCAGAACTCCCCATTTCTAATGAGCCCCCAGGTGTTGCCAATGCTGCTTGTACGTGGACCATAGTTTGATGCCAAGTCTGTACTGAAGACAGAGCAGGACTTGGCATCACAAGACCTGGGGTTGATGACATGAATTGATGGCTATGTGACCTTAAGTGCAATGTTACCATTCTGCCTCAGTTTCCTTATTTGTACTGAGGAACTCCTTTAGAGTTGTCTTGTGGATCACCTATTTAGAGGAAGCTAATGATGGAAGGAAAAAGAAAGCCAAGAAAAAAAATAAAACTAGATATTGGCCTCATGTTAAAATAATGCAAAGATTGAAATGTAAAAATGAAACCTGCTATAAGAAGATACAGTTGAAGATTTATAAAATTTTAGAAAAGACCTTTTAAAAACTAAAGACAAATTATGAAGGAGAAATAGATTTAAAAAAAATGTACTTGAAAAGTAACTAAATAAAAAAAATAAAAAAAAATAAAAATGATGTCTGGAAAAGAAGGGGAAGGGGCTGGTCAAAGAATATGTACGAATGACCCATGGACATGGACATTAACTGTGGGAGCCAGGAGTGGGCTGGGTGGAGAAGGGAAAAGGGGAAAAACTGGGACAACTGTAATAGAATAATAATAAAATTTTTTTAATTTTTTTAAACTGAAAAAATGATGTCTAAGTCCCTACTCTATATCAATAAATCAGAATAAAAAAAAGAAATTATGAAGGAAAAGATTGATAGATTTGTCAACAAAAATGAAAAAGCTTTACTGTGTTTAAAACATACATAAAAAAACAAACCCATATAAAAATACTCTTACCATGTGACCCAGAAATCATGTTTTTTAGTACTTAACCAAATAAATTTAAAAGTGAATACATACCATTGCTATGGAAAACAATAGGGTGGTTCCTCAAAAAACTAAAAATAGAACCACCACATGATCTAGCAATTCCACTTTCGGGTTTTTGTTCAAACGGATTGAAAGGGTCTCTGAGAGATATTGTGCACTCAGGAGCATAGCAGCGCTACTCACAATAGTCCAGAGGGGGAAGCACCCAAGTGTCCACTGACGTTTGAATGGATAAACAAGATGTAGGATCCTACTATGAAATATTATTCAGCCTTAAAAAGCTACTACAATGTAGATCACATACTGCAACCTAGAACCTTACTACAATCTAGAACCTTAGAACATTATGTCAAGTGAAATAAGCCAGTCACGAAAAGACAGATAGTGTGTGATTCCACTTACTTTACAGACCTAAATTAGTTAAATTTATAAAACAGAACGTAAAATGGTTGTTGCCAGGGGCTGGGAGGAGTGTGAAATGGGAACTGTGTTTAATGGGCACAGAGTTTCAGTTTTGCAGAATGGAAAAACTCTGGAGATCTGTTGCACAACAATGTGAATGTAGTTAACATGACCGCACTGTACACTTAAAGATGATTAGGATGGCATATGTGAGGTATTTTTTACCAAAAAATTTAAAAAAGTGAATGTAAAGGCTTTTTGTGCTTTTGTAAAGAATAATTAAAGTATCCAATGAAAAGGAGAAGCCCTCAAATGAGTAATGATCTCTAAGTTGGAATGATAAGTGATTTTAGTTTCCTTCTTTATGTGCTTTTGAAAGTTTGAATTTTACACAATAATCATATTCTTGTTTTATAATCAGAAAAAATTATGGAAGAGAAAATTGTATTGTTTTTAATCTTAGAAAAGAAGAGAGGAAGGAAGGGGGAGAGAGCGAGTGGGTGAGCCAGCGGAACGTCTGGCCCAGAAGATACACCATCATGTCTGCCTTCCTTCTCTGTCTCCTTACAGCGACCACATCAGCCTTCTTGTTCTTGTTCTTGTTCTGGCGTCTGTGGAGGGGGGAGAGGGACTGATTCTCCCCAGGAGAGTAATCTTGCATCCATTTGCAAGTCATGATAGTCTTCTAGTCTTCCTTTTCCAGCCTAAACAATCCCAATGACAGTCACTTGTAAAATCTGAATTCATTTGTTTTTCAGGTTAAATCTTCTTAAAAACCGTTCCATAGGGAGTGATATTGTTGCCTGAAATTTTGTTGTATTGAATAATTTTTAAAGTAAGTAACTTGGTAATAAGATTCACAACTTTCTTTGCTATATGAAAATTACAATTGTAATTCTTGAGGAAGGTTTTTTCCCACTTCTTGGTAATCTGAGGGTCACAAGGTTTGCTGTAGATCATGTCTAGCATCTAACTCCAATGACTTTAAATTCCAGTGTGGTTGAAGACCCGAGAGATGCATGGTCAGACGATCAGAGGGGGCACTCTGGCCTGGGAAGAGCCCCCTTCACTCTCAGACAACTTCTCCTTTTTCTGTGGCCACTTAGCTGGGCTGCTGCTGCCTCTTGGAGATGCAGTGTTTAGGACGTGCAGGTGGAGATGTCTGGTGGGAACTTGCAGAAAGACCACCAGTTGTCTATAAATTGTCCTTCTTAGTAATAGAAACACATTGCAAACTAGGTAAAAACAAACTTTTCAAGTCTGCCTGCAGTTCAGTGTCATCATGAGGCTGAGTTCTAGTTGCTGATAGTTGCCTGAAGAGTGTGTGGGACTTGCAGGAAGTTTCCTTTACAGAGAAAGGAGTTCCATCTTTCTTGCCCCTTCTTCCTTCTCGTAGTCTGGGATGTGGATGTAATGGTTGGAGCTCCAGGCCTCGTCTTGGACCACGAGCCCAAGGACGACACAGGGCTGGTAGCCAGGGAGCTGGAAGGAGTGGCGTCCAGATGCATCAGTGAAGTGCCACACCAGCCTCGGACTGCCTCCCTGTGGGCTTCTTTTACATGAGTGCATTTAAGTCACTATTTGTCAGGTCTCTGTTCAAGGTTAAAGTAATTCCTAACTAACATGGGATTTGTTACTGGAAATGGAGATTGCAGTAAAAAACCCAAGATGTGACATTTATTTAGTGGAAGAGGGGCAAGGTCAACTTTAAGGATTCAGTGATTACAGTATGGGATTTAAAACTTGGCTACACCTTTTGTTGACATGCTCCTATTAAGAGATGGGATCTTCGTCCCCTACCTTTAAATCTAGGCTGGCTTGTGAATGCTTCTGCCAGTGGAGTACAGTGGCAGTGATGCTCTGCGACTTCTGAGGCTGGGTCATAATGCTCCATGCAGCTGCCACTATAATGCTTACTTCTTGGAGCCCTGAGCTGCCATGTAGGAGGACTGGCTATTCTGAGACCACCATTCTGGGAAGGCCAAATGAAGGTGCTGTGGCAGACAGTCAGTCAAGCTCTCCCGGTCCTTCATCCTCCCCAGCCTCATCCCAAAGTGGATCCTTTAGCCTCAGCTGTTCCAGACCACAGCCATCTGAGTCCTGCCCAGCAGTTCAAGTCATTTGAGCCGAGGCCCCACACACAGAGCGGATAAGAGGTGTCCTTGCTACGCCTTTTTGAAATTCCTGACCCACAGAACCTGTGGGCATAATCAAATGGTAGCTATTTTTTTATGCCATTATACTTTTGGGGGTTTTCTTGCTCAGCCATAGATAACTGGAACAGCTGGTAATTTTTATTATCTTGTTAGGATAAAAGTTTAGTTTTCTTCCACGGAAAAGAAATCCAGAGCTAGGCAGACCAGGACTAGTTTGGTGTCTTCAAAGTCAGCAAAAGTTCAGGCCCCTTTGTTTCCCCGGCTGCCAGGGACGTGGACATGATGGGTGGAACTCCAGCAGCCATATTGAACCAGAAGGCAAACTTGAAGGTGGCAGAAGCAAGAGCTGAAAGGAGCCTGGGTCTTTGACAAGAAATAATGTTCTTCTGTCTTGTACGTAAGCTCTCGGAAGTATGGGGTCAATTGTTAATCCTTTTTATTGTTCCAGTGCCTACAACAGTGACTGGCACACAGCAGGAAGGCAGTAAGCATTTGTGAGTGGAAGTGAATTGCACTGCTCTTGGCAAGGAAGTCATGGGAAGGGGGGGGAGGGTTTAGGAAGAAGGGAGTGGTTAGCTGTGCCAGCTGCTGAGATCAAGTAAGATGAAGCCTATAATGGGCCAGTGTCATTTGACTCAGTGTATCTGGAAACTGGGAGGACACTGGTGACCTTAGGGAGAAGTGTCTTCATGGGGATGCAGAAGCAGAACACATCTGCTGTGGGCCAGGGTGATGGGGCTACACAGCGGTGGGGTACACTGGCTGCCCTCCTGGGAAGAAGAAAGGAGACAGGAGGAGGCACAGTGGGGGAGACGGGAATTTTATTTAACTTTTCTTTTTAATCCTGTTACACGCAGACAGCGGGGAAGCTGGGGAGGGAGCCTCCCTGACCTCTCCAGGACACCGACTGCCCTTGCCCCTCCCAGGACTGAGGGCACTCTGTCCTTATCCTCGTGTGGCCCCTACTCATTTTCCTGCTCTGCGACGTCACCAGCATTGTTTTAGAAGCCGAGTCACCGTTCAACTTCTCAAGTCCAAATCAAACTCTTTTCATGTTTTTCCCCCTCAACCCAAGTCTAAGTTCCTGGAAGGCGGAGGCTGTTTGCTGACTGCGACCACTGGGCACTAAGTGCTTAGCTGGTGTGGGCCGCCCTTCCTTCCTGCCCACCAGCACTTCCTGAAAACCCTCGGAGCTTCAAACAGCCTGGGTCAGCAAGAGTGGGTGCTCTGCTGGTTGCTGACGAGGCTTAATAAAAAGAGGAGCACCCCACCACAAGAAGGTAGGAACCCCTGCAGGAGAAAAGGAAGCTGTCCAGGAGAGGAGAGATGGGACAGAAATGTCCTTCAGATGTCCCTGGCAGTGGCCAGGCAGGAATGAGGGCAGGAGTATGCATGCTTTACAGCATCAAATATGAAAGCAGACGAGTCAACAGCATTTGCCCACATGGCCATTTTATTTTGTGCTCAAATAATACAATGGTTTTAGACATGTCACTCTACATACTTCGTTGAACCCAAGGCAGGGCTGCCCTCACCTGACAGCAAACAGGTCTTGCTGCGTGGCTCGCTCTGATAATTGAAGGAGATCCCGTTTGTTGCAGGTGGAAGGAAAAGATGTCAAAGTGGAGACAGCTCTAGTGGAGGGAAGGAGTGGCCTCCCAGGACGGCGTGATCTGGATGGGGACCTGTTTTGCAGGTCCAAGAGCCTAGTTTATCAGTGGCTCAGGGGAGCCAACTGCTTACACTTTTCAGGCTTACGGGAAAGTATGGCATAAATCCACACCTCTCAAACTTTTTAATATGCACACCCATCTCCTGGGGGTGGGCATCTGGGCATCAGAGGGGAGGTGGGACTCTCCTTAAAAGGTAAATTGATTCAGTGCAGCTCGGGTGGGGCCTGACATCCGGATTTCTAACCAGTTCCCCGCCACACTGGGAGTAGCAAGGATGTACACTGGAGGCCAAAGTTTCTACACTTTGGGTACCTGTCACCACTTGTCTCCTAACAACCAGAGAGCGCTGTGGCCCACAAAGAGCAACACGTCTTCCAGGTTTGCTGAGCTTTGTGCAGACCACACGCCTTTCTGGTCACACCCTCCATGGCATGTGGCTTGGGTTACATATTTTTAAGTTTCAGCCTGACGAGGGACCTGGGTACTTTGATTTGATTTCTATGTCTCAGGGCTTTCCCAGAGATTCATCTGGAAATGATCTCCGAGGATGACCTTTTTCCTCAGGGCTAACCTAGTCCTTCCTGGGTAGACCCTTCCTAGTTTCCTTCTGTCAGGGTGACTTGCCAGGAGCTGGGATGTGCCGGCCATGGTGTTTACATGATAAATAAGAGGAATCCCATTTAGAAATAAATAATCCCATCTGGAAAACAGAAGGGAGGGTGCAAAGAGAATTGAGAAGTGCTCCTGGAGCAGGTTGGTCAGTGGGTGCTGGCCTCTCGGAGCGGACGGCGCCGGGCAGCACTGCCCACCTGATGCCTGGATCCATTTACCTGCCTACACACCCCTGAGCTGCACCACTGTTTCTTGTTCAATGTAGCTGAGTTGCAGACTTGGGCTTTGCCTGGCATTTCGTTGGAGCTGAATGGTCAGCTGTGGCCACCTGCTCAGGACCACGGGAGTCAGCAGTCCTTGGGCCTCAGTGGCTGAAACCCTGTCACCTGTTTGGCTTCGTTGTTGAAGAGACCAGATGTCTCCAGCACTCCATCTAGACCTTCTAGTAGCATGCTATTGATATCCTGATTCATAAAAATAAAATATAATTGCCTATAAAATTCACAAGAATATAATTGTCTTAACATTTAAAAAGTGTTTTCCCAGAGAATGCAGCAGAGTGCATTCCCCAAGGTCCTCTGTGCCAGGAGGCAGAGCGGAGCAGAAAGGGGAGGGCGCTGAGCTCTGGCTCTGAGTCTGAGGTTTCTGGGGGGCCAGCCTCCTCCACGGGCATTGCCTTCATCTCCACACCATAGGCCTGTATGGGAGCCCGTGGCTACTGGACTCCTTTCCCTGTGAGGAAAGAATTTTTTAAATTGCAGTGGGTATAAAACCCCAATACATGCCTTGTTATTTTCCTATGGTCTCTTGCTCTCTCTGTCTCCCTCAACTTTTTTAAATTTTACTTTTTTGATAGAGAGCCCAGGCCAGCCTGCCTGCATCCCTTGCCAGAGAGCACAGCCGACTGCTGCGCAGGCGGGGCAGCCCCGATGGGTTCCTCACTGGGGACGGTGGGAGCAGACGCAGGGTGGGCCGGGCTCCCCGGGGCTGCGGGACACTGGCTCCTCTGTAGTTTCTTCTTCTCCACTGCCATCCGCAAGGCCTGAAGGAGCTTGTCCTTGTTGTTCAGGATGTTGTACTCGCAGAGGTTCACTAACTTGTCAAAGGCGTCCTCCGTGTACGTCAGCTCCTTGGTAGCGTAGGGGGTTTTGGGGCCATAAATGTTAACCTGGCCCTGCTCCAGCTCCTCGGGGCTTCGCACCACACCTGGAGGCAGCAGAAGAACTCACTATGGACTCTTATTATGTTAGGTTGTAATGACGTGTGTCCTAGCACTGCCCCTGCCCACCTTGCACACACTTCCATGAAGAGGTGTGCACACACATACACAGGTACACATGTGCACACACACACACACACCTCCAAGCTCCTAGGGCGTGGACACGGCTTGCCCATCCTAGGGTTGCCCTGGCACCAGTGCAGTGCCAGGAGCATAGCTGCACGTCAGTAAATGTTGAGTGACTGAGTCTGAGAATAGAGTTTGACACTCCCAGCATATGGAGGTGTGGGGGTCTTTTCTTTCCTGCCAAACAAGGTTGGCTCAGACTGGAGCTAAGCCAGGCTTCCCATTAGTGCTATTAGAAGACGGCATAAATTAAAGCCAGGAGCTCGCAGTCCAAGGCTGGTTAGTGGGTGGTGGGAACAGAGCTCAGAGGCAGCTTACCTGGTGCCTTGTACTTCTGGAAGGTGTCGTTGATGAGTGGGAAGAAAAGCACAACGGGGGCACCAGGTTCCTGGGAGTTCTCCATCAGGCAGCACTCCTTGAGATGACTATTCCGCTCCTCTTGCATGTTGTATTCGGGGAAGGGGATGTTCTGCACGTTGCAGTACTCACAGGTTTGTTTCATTGGCTAGAATACCACAGGAGGACATGTTTGGGTATTAGGAGGGGTAGGGGTGAATAAGAAGCACAGAGATCTGCGAGCCAGCTTCCTAATTTCCCCAGCTAACAACTGCTTGGCCTATTTGTGCTATTTTTAGAACAAAGTCAGGTCAGGACAAAGGGCCCGAGGCAGTAGGATTGACGCGTGTCCAACTGCGAGCTCCTTCCCCAGGGACAATGGACAGAAGCCCTTTTGTTGAAGCTTCACCCAAAGGCAGACCTGGGCTGATAGGGGGGCCGCCCGAGGGTGACTGGAGCTGAGACACACACAGCCGTGGCAGGCAGGCTCCTGGGGCACCTGCATGGGCTTTGGGACTGACAAAGTGTCACAGGGCTGCAAAGACTCTGAAAGGGTATTTTTATAAACGTGGCAGAAAGAATACTGGACTCAGAGGGTCTGAATCCCTGTTTCACGCCCCCTGTTTCACGCTCACTAGCTGTGTGATTTGAAGCAAGCCCCTTACCCTCTCTGTGCCTCAGTTTCCTTTGCTACAACAGGGGAATAACAGCAGTTGTGCTGTCTACCTCAAAAAGCTGGTTATCATAAGGATCCAGTGAGACCACATGTAGGAAAGGATGCCATCACTCATTTATGAACTTAGGTCATTATCGTTGTCATCCTATCATTGTCTACGCTTTGCTTTTCCTGGGTTCAGGATAAGACTGTATTAAAGTAGACCAAAAATCAACTTCTTTTCCTTAAAAGGCCAGAGCATTTCAAAAGCAAATAAACAAAAACCTCTGGTCCTGGTTCTTGAGTATAATTACATGAAGAGTCTTACTCCCTGGGAGAGGGGGAAAGTTTGATTATTTTGGAAACGACCTTACAAGCTCTCGAAGTGGTATAAAACTAGAATTGACTGGACTCGATTATGGTTATTTTAAAAAACAGCCCCTTTTTTTGCAGCTGAAGAATTGCCAGATATGGCAAACACTCAGAATCAAGAATTGGAATTAGCTCAGTGAGTCCTCCCAAACCCCACTGGGTGTAAGGCCAGCTGGCTGGCCCCTGGCTTTGGATGGCTCCCCTCAGGGAATGCATTGATGCTTGAGTCTCTCTACCACTAAATCTTGGAGCCTGCAGGGGGCGCACCTTCTCCCATCTCCCAGTTTGTGGTACTCATTCTGGTCTGTCTCAGAAGAGGAGAGCCTTTCACTGCCACACTTGCCTTTGTCTGGGACCCGGCACTATAATTGAGGTGAATGATGAGGTCGGCTTTTCTCTCCTCCCTGAGGAGGGGTGGGTAGCTGGAGTTGACGAAGAATGCGGTGTCCAGCAGACACAAGTGGTTCATGGACTGTGTCAGCTGGTTCGGGAAGCTGTCAAGCACAGTGTCTGAAATCCAAGGCTTGCAGTTACAACCACACCCTGGTGTCCTGAGCTCAGCAGGTGGTCAGAGGTGCCTGGTAAGGACGGAGTGCCCTGACCAGAGCTCATTCGCCTCACCCTGGGCCTCCAGCCCCCCACTTCTGTTCTGGATGCCCAGGTGAGTCAGTGCCCCTCTGGGTGGGCTGATGAACAAGTGCATTATCTTGGGGTTTTAGCAAATCTTATATGGAATATGCACACAAGACCCACTTTGACTAAGCCACAGACAGGGCTTGTGGAGTAGCAGGGGCATATGACTGTCCTATAAATTGGTACAAACTTGGAACCCAGAGCCAGTGGCGGCCCTTGCAGCCCAGAGAGTAAGGATGAGGACTGTTAGGCCAGGCCCAATGAGGCATTTGCAGGCCATGGCCAGGTAAAATACCAAAGGCAGTGGAAAATTGACCTCAGAGCCTTAACATGGTGGGGAGGAGGTGCTGAGTTGAAGCTGCAAGACCAAAGTCTAAGGCTTGGCTTTGCAAGTTCCCACTTGGGGGACCCTGAGCTGGGCTGTCCCTCCCCAACTCAAGGTGGCACCATTCATATGAAAAGGTGCCCCCGGAGCACAGCTGCAGAAAGCCCGGGGCCACATTTCCCCATCTGTAACACCGGCCAACTTCTACCTGCCAAGATTGTTGTACAGATTCAATCCACTAAATATGTATACCGCTCTGCCCACCCTTCAAGACTTCACCCAAGAACACACCATGGGAGGAGCCTGCCACTCTATTTCCACGGCAGCCTCGACATCCACTTTTCTTTCCTCCACACAAAGGCAGGCTGCAAGTAGCAGCCGGACAGGGTACCTTTCCACTTGGAGAACTGGCCATTCTGGAGGTAGTCTGTGTGCAGCTGCAGCCCCAACAGGAAGTTGTGGAACTCAGATACAAAGGACCGATAGGTGAGGATGTGGCGGAAAGTGTTGGACAGCCACGACCCAGGGATCACCACAGAGGTGTCCAGGGCATTGGCATCACATTTGGGGATTTCAGGAAGGAGCGGTTCATCTTCTGCAGGAGAGAGCAGGATGGAGAGCAGATCATAAGAGTTGGGGTCCCAGACCGCTCAGGGGGGAGCCCTGCATGGTAGCCCAGTACCCAGAGGTAAGATATGCAATTCACATCTTCCTTGCCTAGCTCTCAATATGCTGGCATTGGAGTGGGAGCACCCAGGTCAGAGACATATAACTGGCTGGGATAGGGGTAGGGGTGACAAATAAGGAGGGGTTCCAGAGACCAGAGAGGATGGCCTAGATGAGCAACCTCTAACTATGCTCATAGACCCATCCCCTCATCAGCTGTCCTGGGCACTGCACAGCCCTGCTGCACTTACTGCACAGTGGATTCTCTCACCAGACCACCTAGAGTGGGGCCCCTGGGGCTTGTGGCTGGGCCTCGGCACATGTGTCTTCACCTACAATCAACCTCTCCTCTGGGCAGGGAAGACCCTCTAGCCCCGGCTGCCTTCCCATGTCTGTGGGCCACAGAGGTGGTACCGAAACACATGGCAGCTGGACTGGTCCTCAGTGTGTGATCCACCAGTCTCCGTCCCCCTCCCATCACCCACCCGAGAGGGAAAGCCAGTGTGTCACCCACCGATGTCTTGCACTTTCTCCCTTGTCCACCTGTGGAAAAACTCTTCTGAGGATCGGGCAAAATTCCAGGCATCGAGCAGGTTCACAGAGAAGATACTGCTCCACAAACCTAGGGATGGGGCCAGCCGTGAGCAGCTCTGGCTGAGGGCCCCAGACCCACCCGCACACTGACGGGCTCTGCTTTGGCCTTGGCTCCCTCTCCCAGCAGGCTGCTCAGAGGGTGGGGTAGACCTTGATATCCCTCTTCCCACGGGTGCAGCTCAGCCCAGATGACTGATAGCCCCAGTTCTCGGCTCTTCTCCACCCTCCTCTCAGAGCCGGGACAGGATGTGGAGGCATGTAAAGCACAGCCCCTGCAGAGACTTGATTCTGGAAGGTGCAGTCTTCACGTCCAAGTCCAAAAACCCACCCTTGTATCAGTGAATACAATAGTTTAGGACACTGCCTGGCACATAATGAGCACTTGATAAGTGTAATGCTATCTCTTATTATCGTGAGTTTTAAATGCAGCACATGAATAATAATACCCATGAAAACTTTCATGTACCCTGACCCATTTGGATTCTCATCAGACAGGTTTTACTCTTAAGTCCAACTGACAAATGAGAAAACTGAGGCTGAGAGTTCAAGCACAAATGTCTTAAATACAGGTCTCTGAAGATGCCCAGTAGCACAGGTGCTTAGAGGAAGGAGAGGCCGCCATGGGCTGTGGGCTCTGGGCGGGCTTCACAATAGATATGGGGCCTGATTTGAACGTCTGGGCCCAGCTGGATTGGGATGCATGGAAAAGAGGCGGGGGGCAGAGAAGTAGTTTAAATAAGGGCATAACTGTGGTGAGGGTGTAAAATGGGTCTGTTTTCTGAGGTTGCCCTTTGGTAAATGAAGTTCAGACCCTGACAGGGAGAGCTAAACGAGTGGACATTGTCGGCAGCCTCCTGTACACGGTGCTCTGGAGGACCAGGGAGCACAGAGCTGGGAGCTGTGCCAGGCTCCCCAGGGACCTGGCCTTCACCCTGGGGTCCCCTCTGGCCTCTTGGAGGAACTAGTCTGTTCCCTGGAAGCAGGCACATTGCTTTGGAGCCAGAAGGGAAAATGGTGGGAGTTCTAGAAGCTTCCATCTTAGCTTGCCATTCCCAGTGTCACCTGGGACAATTCCTGGAAGAACAGAGCAAGCCTCCCTGTCATTCTCTAACTCGGAGGTGGGCCTTGCTCTGCACGGGGCAGGGTTCCCAGGGAATGTCCCCAGCCAGGAGTCACCTAGCATGTAGCACATCCGAGACTCCGGGATCCTCCGCATCAGCCGTCCCATGAAGAACTCGGAGCCGAAGAGCTCAGTGGGGACGAAGGCCCCGTACTTCTGCAGGCCCACCTCGTACGGGGAAAACTCGCACCACTCTGCACAAACAGCAGGACGGGATGGTATCAGTCTCAGGTGGTACAGCCACGCCCTCCGTCCTGGCCACCTGAAACTGAGCCCCACCTCGGGAAGATCCAGGGAGGCTGCAGTTCCTCCACAGGACACATGGGGGTGCCATGGCCAGTTTCTGAAGGCAAGACAACCTACACAGCTAATTTGCTCCTTAAAACCAGATAGATAAGGACCAAAACTGACCCCAAAGCAGGGCAGGTCTCTAGCGTTGCTCTCTCTGGGCAGCTTAAGAAATATCTAGCGTTCTTTCCCTCATGGCCTTCATGTCCCCATGTCCCATCGAGGCCACCCTGGGAAGCCAGGGGACCCTGTTGTGTCCCCATCCCCCCACCATCCCTGCCCCAGAGCAGAAAAGGGCAGCAAAGCTGATTTTTTCAGCTGTCAGAAGCACCATTTGGTGTGCAGGTTGGCAAAGGTGTGCGGCCCTGTGTGTGCTGGGTGCAGGGTGCCTGTGCCTGCTGAAGAAGGACCTTCTTGTAAATTGCTAGTTGTCAGTGTTACCTCTGAAATCCTGGTTGCTTACATCATCCTTGACATTGATGGTGAGGTAGATGGGCAGGGGGTTCTGGCCCTGGCTCAAAGCAGCGCGCTGCTCTGACAGTTTGCATTCATTTCTCTGCGGGGAAACAAAATGGTTAAGGAAAACAAGCAGACGAGCAGGCCCCGGGGCAGCGCAGAATCGGGGCCGTCCAGACCGCCTGAGCCCGCCAGGCCGCCATGTGGGGCCCGCTGACACCAGTCAGACCTGCTCTGTAATGTACCAGCGGAAGTACACTCATCCTTGGACTGTTCACCACCCCAGACATGTGGACCGGGTGGGACTAGGTCTGTAGTTAAGGGCTGCCCCTCAAAGTCCCAGGGTTCTCTCCATGTCCTGGGAACCAGAGAATGAAGAGGCAGGGGTGGGAGAGGCAGCCACGGCCTCTCTTCCTCCCCATCATCCTCCACCCACTCAAACTGGAGCAGCTCCACTTTTCTTATCTGCGTTGCCTGTTGCCAAGTTCCCAGAAGCTTCCTTCTGGAAACTTCTGATTTGAAATCAGAACTCAGACCACCTTTGGGAGTGGGGCAGACAGCCACAGGCCTGTATGAAAGTTCTGCTTTGGTGCCAACCAACAGCCAAAGGAGCCTGTGCAGCCAGAGGACCCAGGTGTCAGCAGAGCTCACCCCGACAGCCAGGGCCACGGACTCCCACGGGCCCTGCTCTGCCAGCACGTCCCAAGTGGCACGCTCAGCAGCTGGGTCTCAACACAGCCTGGGCCCGTACTGCTCAGATCGCTGAGTCTCAGTGCAGGAAGGAACCTCACTGGGCCCATCCTCTGTGTGGTGACCGTGAGGAGGGGCCCTGCTGACCTCCATCCATCTCCAGGAAGTGTCCCCGAGTAAGGGTCCCCGCTGCTGAGCTCTGAAATCCACGCTGTTTGTGCCAAGGTCACACTTCCCGTGGGCGGCTCCTGGCCCATGACTGAGTGGGGCAGGCCCACTGGGCTCCTCTCTGATGGCCAGCTCGGCTAGAGGACTCTCAAAGGCCTCGCTGAACCTCCTAGACCACACAGCAGTTTAGGATGCCCAGCCTTTCTCCCCGATCTCCTCCACTAGGGGTCGGATGTACATCACTGGCTGAGGGGCCCCAGCCTTTTCTGCTCCCTCCCTATTTTCTGTCCTAGGTGTCTTGGTGTGGGTCTCAGAGGACAGGCTAGCTTTCTGCAGGGTTGCACCTAAGCCACCCCCAACAAGTGGGCCTCAGTCACACTCCAAAGGGATGTGGGAAGACAGTCCCACCTCCTTCACACGTTTGGGCACTTCACACCTTTTACAGTGCAGAAACACATCTGCAGATCTGACCTAACTCCCTTCCGCTGCCAGACACCCTGAGGAGGAAGAGAGTTGGACAGCAGGCAGGTCAGGGTATGGTCCAGAAGAAGCTGGGAGCCTACCTCATCCCCCAGACAGGCCTCGATCAGCAGGCCCCAGAAGTCTGTAAAGGTGACCTTGTAGCCTTCCTGGCTGCGCTGGCGGAGCTCCTTCTTGTACCTGAGGAGCTGGTCTGGGAACAGGGCAGGCATCTTGTCCTTGACCACGTGCCTCCGGGCCTCGAGGATGGCAGCCTCCAGGTTTTTGGAGGACCAGTCAGGGTCACTGTACAAGGTAGCCATGGTCCTGGAGAAAGACGGGCATGGCTGATACAGCTGCACCTGCCCTGGTCAACCCCAGGCCTTGGCAGGAGAGAAAGTGGGCAGCTTGTGGGAAACTGTGGCCTGCTGGGGGAGGAGCCTGGAGGAAAGCGGGTGAACATTTTTACTTGTAGTCACAATCGCTGCCACTCCTTGATCGCTCGTGTGCCAGGCATTATAAGCATGTTGCTTAGGAGTGAGAATTCTGGACCCAGATCTTCCTGTGTGCAAACCCGGCTCCTACCACTCACTAGCTGTGTCATCTGGGGCAAGTTACTTAACCACTCTTCACTTTGGTTTCCCCATCTGTGGAAAGGGGAGAGTGATGATAATTGCACCTCTTATCTCACCGAGTTATTGTGCAGACGACATCAGCTCATGCAACGCAGCGTGGTCAGAACGGTACCCGCACAGAGTGGCCACCGGGCCGTGGAGCAGTGGAGCCGCCACCTGAGCCCAGACTCGGCCGATTCCAGGTCCTGGGCTGCTTCCTCTCTGCTGCTTTAATTCCCACAATTGTCATGTTGGCTAGAGATTTATTTCTCCTTCTTCTAAACTTACATGTGGGCTGTGGGGAGAAGTGCAACCAAGATGGGGATCCTGGCCCTGGGTGTCTGTCCCTGTTTGGCTCTTCCTGGCCCGGACCCCGCCTCTATGTCAGGACAGCACCTGGGAACCTGCGCACAGGGCGCGTGTCTGCCGCCCTCTGAACAGCGGCCACTTCCTTCCCAGGACTGTTTCTGGTCAGGGGAGGTGGGGTTTGGTCGGGAGATTTCTTCCACAAAAAGCACTTTGCCCTTCAGAAGTTTCACTTGGTTACTTTCATGCTTTTAAAAAACATTCAACGCTGTTACAAATAATTGGTTTTAAAAGAATCTTTCCCCGTTCTTTCCTAGGCCCAGTGCCCCTCTCCACCACAGAAGCAGGTTGCCTCCTTAGCCTGCTACTCACGGGCAGCCCTTTGACAAGAAGCTTAAAAACCTGGGCCCTGGACTCTAACAGCCTGGGTTCAAATCCTAGTGATACCACTGAGTAGATGAGTGGCCCCGGGCATCCCTTTGTTTCTTCAGCTATCAAATGAGCAGAATGACCACATCTCCCTCATCGTTTTCTTACGAAAAAGAAATTCGGGGACTCACTGGAAGTAGTCACCCCAGTGTTTGGTACAGAGGCAACACTGCTAATCGCCAGCTCTTCCTTCCATGTCCCCCCGGGCCGCAGACTCAGGGCCCCTGGTGCGCCAGGAGTCCTCAGTTATCCTACGGTCAGTGCACATCCTCTCACCCAAACGAAAGACACGGGGAATCCCTCCAGGACGGGGGCCGCAGCTTGGGACCTGGAGGGCTCAGAGGCCCACTGGCCCCAGACAGAACGAGACACATGTCTGGCTGAGAGAGATGCTGTGGGTGGTCAGAGGGCCCAGGCCACCCCGGGCCAGGGCTGCATTATGACTTTGGTGGCCCCTCTCACCATACGAATATTAAAAATTTAGTTTTGTGCCTGCTGTATAAAGACAAATGTAGTAATACTTTTTATTAAAATATTTTCAACCTAGAAGTTCATTTTTTTCCTTCCGATCTGTGGGGCCCTACCAGGACCAAGGGACCTGGGCAAGGCGGCTCCTGTGGAGAAGCCGAACTCACGCTGGTCTCACTGGGGGAGCCAAGTTCTCACTCTCCTTGCTCCTCAGCAGAGTGAGGAGTGGGGGCCTGAGGGAGCCTGCAGGGCAGAAGGAGTGGGCAGGGCTGGGCAGCGGCTGGACTGTGGGCAGCCAGGGCAGCCGGGCCAGCTCCACCTGCCCGAGGAGACTTGGCACCTTCCCCCTGCAGGAGAGAGGGCAGCTGCCTCTCCCCAGCAGGATGGGGTCAGTGGGACCAGGGCTTCACGCATAGTTGGCCATCACGCTCCCAGGTCCCTGCGCAGCCCCAGGGAGACAGTAATACCAGTAATGACCAATATGTATGGTGTCGCTCATGTATCCAGTACAGGGACAGCCTCTCTGAGAGCCTCATGAAATCAGTACTATTACTGTCCCCACTTTGCAGGTATAGAAACTGAGGCTCAGAGAGGTTGAGGTACATCCCCAAGGTCAGATAGCTGTAAGTGGTGGAGCCGCCCAGGATTCATGAGTCACTCTAATGAGAGGCGGAGGGAACTTCACCAGAGACTCCAGGCCCACCCTTCTGCTGTTTGCTCTGTGCTCCACCAGAGAGTAGCCCCCATTCCCTTACCAGGTGGCCCCTGACAGGCCCGTAATGTAGCTGGCACAGTTCAGGAGGTTCAGCTTCTGCAGCCCCAGCAGGTGGCCATACATGGCGGTCATGGATCTCGTTCCACCCCCAGTGGCCATGATGGCTATGAGTGGTACCTGGGGGTACAGAGAGACAGACTGTTCGGGCAATTCTGCATGGAGACGCCTTGGAGGGACAGATGGGAGCTAAGAAGGACGGGGGAGGAGGCAGAGCCGGCTACACAGAGCAGAGAGTGGGGCACTGAACGACCTGCGCCCCAAACCCAATAGCGGGTGTCAGGGAAGGCCTCTGTGTGTGGGCTTGGTGAACCAGGAGCTGGCGGCTGGAGGAGCTCTTAGCACTGTTAGTGCAGCACCCAGTCACCACACGCTGAAACGGAGGTGCAAGGGGCTGGGCATCTTGTTCAATAATCCAGCTTGTGTACAGCTCCTTAAAGGCTGCAAACTGATTGTCTCCTACAGGAGGATTTGGTGTGAGGGCGTCAGGCTTGGCGCATGGCATGCGCCCAGTGAGTACCCTCTGTGTAAGAGCAGGAGGAGGGAGTTTCTGAAGCAGGAAATGGCAGGGTTGTTACTGCTGAACCGACATGGGTTTACTATATATGACCTTGGTTTGTTGGCCTAAAGGTGGGAGAAGGGGGCTCTTTGCCAAGACTTCCTCTAACTGTTTTCGTTTGGCTAACACCTGGCACAAGCCCTCCTCAGGCACGAGCTGTCCATCCACACCTACAGTCAGCCTCAGGAGGCGGACTCCCTGAGGGCTGGCCTGCTACTGCCCAGGGGAATGTGGGCTCAGTCCATGCCGGGAGGTGGCAGAGGGTCTCACAAAGACCCCCTGTCTGCTCCTCAGGAAGAAGCTGGCCATGCCACTGGAAGGTGCTTTGCTCCAGCTGCCGCCTGCTGTTCTTTCTGGGTGTGTGCATGTGCGCAGACTTTGGGGGGAGGGAAAACAGAAGGATGAAGGTCCGTCCCCAGCATCCTTTGGGTGGAGGTGTGCGGTGTGGGAGGAGGTTGAGATTCACATGTTTTCTCGCTGGGAGAGGCCATTCTGTCACCTCGGGACCTCTTAATGCTCCTTCTTCTCTCTACTCTGCTCTCCCCGCCCCTTGGGAACACAGCTGAACCCTACCCAACAGCCCTTACCTGGAATCTTAGCACTGAGAGCAACCAGAAAAGGCAGCGGGGAGGCCAGCCTGGGTGAGGAAGGGTGAGGGGGCGGATGTCAGGGGGTAGTGTTGGAAGGACACGTTCAGGGCAGGCACTGAGAGTGGGCTGGCTGACCCCTGCTCACCCACCTCGTCCATCTGCAGGTCCTCCTCCAGCTGCAACACCTGCTTCAGCGCCTCAGCCACTACCACCTTGCGCTTCTGCAGGAACTCCAGCTCCTCCTGGCACAGGCTGTAGCCCAGCCGCACGTCCAGCATCTGGGGGCTGTGAGGACAGAGGACCTTGGCTGAGCAGGCCTGTAGGCTCCACTTCCATGGAGAAGATGTGGCTCTGGGCTCTCTGCTTTCTCATCTGGAAAACGGGGCTAATCATGCTTAATTCCCAGCACTGTCTTTGGCACTTAATGAGGTAACACATGTAAAGTCCCCCAAACCTTAGCTGGTGCGCTACAAACCGATACTCAACAAAATTAGGGACTCAGTGAGCCCTCTGCCTCCTCAGCAAGATCTGCAAGGTCCAGGAAGTCACCTTTTGTGGACTGAGGTCAGACATGGCTGACAAGGGGCACTGAGATCCTTCGGGCAATCTCTCTGGACAAGACTCTATGGTAAGGGCTTTTCTGAGCTGGATAAACATGGCCCTGTTCATTTGGAGCTCATCTTCTTCCTTAAGGTCTTCCTGCTCCAGGAATAATTATCATCCTGTGTGTTTGTGCAGTTGTTAAAACCCCCCATCACCTCCCTCATTCCACCATGTCATCCGTCAGGTCTGCAAGGCAGGTGCAGGGGGCAGCAGCTGTTGCAGCGCACCCAGCTTTCGCCCTCCGTGCATCACATCCCTGCCCTGAACCAGTGCCGGCCCCGCATCCAGGACCCTGCGTGATCCTGTTCCTTCCCCGGACGACTCATCAGCTGTCAGAGCTCAGAAGCACTTTCAGTTCTCAGCCTTTGCACAGGTCCCTGCCTTCATGGAAGCTTCTTCTCTCCGACCATCTGCATCCCTTGCCTCCTCCAAGGCCCAACCCCTCAGTGACTCCAGGTGAATAGACCTCGACAGTTTTCAACCTGAATTTTAGTTAGTGACCTGAGTCACTAACAAGGTGGCACCTCCTTGATGGCAGGGCCTGAGAGCTCTTCCATCACATCCTTCCATGTCTACCACAGGCCTGCAGACAAAGCTGTGAGGAAATAACTCTTCCCTTGACCTCAACAAGGAACAGATAATATAACAATGATAATAATAACATCAGCTGGAATTTACTGAGTGTCCCACTTGCCAAACAGATCGGTGAGTTCTTGATGTGTGTTATCTATAGGAGCTCCCTGGGTCCTCAGAGCAACCACCAATGGTCAGTATTCTTGGCTTTGCTCCAATTTATAGATGAGAAAAACTGAGGTGTAGCGGGGTTAAATAATTTGTCTAAAGGCAGAGAGCTAATCAAATTGGAAATGAAAATTGTGATCATTCGATTTTTGACAACGATGGCAAGACAGTTCAATGAAGAAAGAACAACCTTTTTAGCAACAGCAAAAATCTGGGACAACTGGATATCCATCCACATGCGAAAGAATGAAGCAGAGTCCCCATGTCACACTGTATATAAAAACTCACTCAAAATCAGCCATAGACCTAAACAGTAGAGAAACCATAAACCTTTTGGAGGAAAACATGGGAGTAAAGTTTTATGACTTTGGAGTAGTCAATAGTTTCTTAAATATGATACCAAAAGAACAAGTAATGGAAGACAAATATAGATAAACTGGAATTCACCAAAATTTAAAACATCTGTCCTTCAAAGAACACCATCAAGAACATAAAAAGATAACCACCAGAATCAAAGGAAATATGCACAAATCATATATCCAACCAGGTATTTGCAATCAGAATATAGAAAGAACTCTTACAACTTAAAATAGAAGGCAAATAACCCACTTTAAAAACGGGCAAAGGATTTGGATAAACAATTCTCCAAAGAACATGTACAAACGGCCAGTAAGCCCATGAAAAGGTGTCAACACCTCTTCCCGTGAGCCACCAGGGAAGTGCAGATGCGCACGAAGATGCCACCATCCCCCCCCCAAGACGAATGAAGCAGAGAGACAAGCCAGAAAGACGGTACTTTACCAGGCTGTAGACTTCATGTGTAATTCACAGTTCTCTCCCTGGGACACAAAAGATGAAAAGCTTGTCAGGGGTGACTATTCAGAGCCAAGTGACCCCAACCAAAGAAGTACAGACTTATCACACTGTCTGCTCCCTGACTTGACTCAGCACATACACGTGCACACACGTGCACACACAAGCTCCATCCCCACTCCCTCTTCTGGACTTGGCCTCCCCATCATTTTTAACTGGGCCCCCGTACCCCCTCTTTGGCTCCGCACTTCAGCTCAGCGTCGCTTACCCCATACGACTCCGCCTTCTCCCATGTGCCCCCCAGGCTCTCCCCATCCCCCTGCCACGGGAGCTCCAGGGGGCCCCTGCCCAGGCCCAAGCCCTCACCAGGGGCAGGGTCATCGCCTGGCCATCGCTGAGGCAACCCAGGGGCTGGCTGATAGGGCCGTTCTTGTGCGCGCCACAGCAGCAAAGCTGGAAGGGGATAGTTCTGTAAGTGGGGGTGGGGGGCTCCTCTGGCAGCTGCCTGCCCCAGCACCCCCCCCCGTGCCACCCCCAGAGGCTGCCTTGTACCCCACAGCTCCATTGGCTTCTGGGCACGTCCACATGCAGCTGGGACTGGAAATACTTGGGGTAGTGGAAGGAGGCCAGGTTTGTGCAGCAGGGCTCCAGGCATTGGGAGATGCGCTGAGTGTGCTCGAAGGACTCCGTCACTGTCACCAGGAGGTCCTTCCCTGGAAGAAGGAGCAAGAGGGCTGAGACGCCTCACCCCCAAATGCCTCTCACTTGCCTCAACCCAACATGGTCCCAGTAAAAACCACAGCTGGAGGTGCCCAGGGCAGGGGTTTTGAGTTACCTGGGGCACTGGTTAAAATGCCCCAGAGCGTCTCACTCTGTAGGACAGGGCCAGCCCAGGAATCTGCATTTTAATAAGGCTTGCGTGTGGTGAGGCCCCCAGAAAGCCCTCTGAGATGCTGAGTCCTCCTAGGCTCTGCTTGTCCAGGAGGTGCCTCAAAGTCCCCTCCTACTGCACTAAAAGCAGCCCTCACCACACCACCGGTTGCAGGTTGTGGCCTCTTTCTGCCTCCCTCACCCAGGCCTGTGGGGCCATGCCGCTCCCCTCTCTTGGGACAGGGCTGGAAGTCCTTGCACAGGTGGAGGGGATGGAGCAGTGGACAGGAGAGTCTCATGTTTGTGGATCTCTTAGGTCCCTGCCAGCTACAAATGCTAAGCTCTGCAAATTGTCATCTGGCTGGAAGAAGGGACACAGCTAGAGGGGCTCTGGGTGGTGTCAGTGTCCACCCATCCCAGTGCTGATCACTGCACCAGATCCAGCGAGCCCCTGATGTGGCAGGGGTATGGTGCAGACCAGTGTGGACAGCACTGTGCACTGACCCCTGACCCAGGGCTCCTGTCAGGCCTGGGAAGCTCTGAGGGTCATGTGGGGGTCTGGAGGAGCATGCCCCTTACAGAGGGGTGGGGGACGGGGAGAGAGGGGCCACAGGGGCCACAGCCCCTGAGGGTGAGGTGATCCCAAAGCATTTCCTGCCAAGTTCTTGGTTCCCGGCTGAGCCCAGGGCAGCCCTGGAGCAGCCAGTTCTGGAGCTGGCGTGGTTGGGCAGCAGTCTTCTCCCCCCCACCCCTCCACCCCCACCCCCAGCAGGCAGAGGCAGTCAGAGGCAGTCAGGGGACCCACTTTTCCTACTCTTCCTCTGCCTTCTGGACTCTGCATAAACCTCCAGGTGGGAGACTTGTCGAGCCTGCAACGAAGAAGCGAGGGTCATTCCAAGCACGCGCTGTCCCCTGCTCTGAGGAGCCTGACCAGGGAAGAAGCCTGGGTGGGTGACCACACCTTTGAAACCCAACGAAGTCCTGCTGCCTTCTTATCCAGAGATCACATATTTGAAAATGAAGCTCTGCCGGAAAATCCAGGGCATACGGTCACCCTTTACCAGGGGTCGCATTGCGCACCTGAGAGAACTTCCACCTCGGGCTTTGAAAGCCCATGAGGCAGCCTTCCCAAGAAGCAGGGGCAGGTCAAATTCCTTCACCACAAACTCCCAAAGACTGGTTTTGGGGGGAGAGATTTTGAATCCTGGGGTATTAGATGTATCTAATTAAAACGGTCTTGTATACAGCAGAACTGTGAAATCTTTTTAACACTATGCTTGTGCCTGCAGAGACTGGGGTTGGGGGAAATGGGACTGTGACTGATTCTGGGAGGAGCCTGCCTGCTAGCTGGCACTTGTATCAGGGAGCTTCCCAGGAAGAAGGAGGGGTTGTGCTGTGGGCCAGAGGGGCCCAGTTGCGGCCCCACCTCTGCCCTTGCCCCTGTGGGCTGGCTTCAGTTAGACTCTGAGTGAGCGAGGGGACAGGGCCCAAGCTGGGCCAGCGTTCTCTCCCAAAGTCGGGTCCCCAGAGAGCAGCAGCCACCTGTGGCCCCTGGGATTATAGGAACCTGGAAGGACAATTACCACCAGCACGCCATTGGTGATGAGGGTCTCAGGGGCAGAGGGCCTGAAAAACAAAACAAGAACTCCTGGTAAGTGATGTCTTCTCAACTGATCTGTCACAAAAGTGTCACGAAGTCTACATAAGATCAATAATGAGTGAGATAGCAGAGCCTTCCTAGTCCTCATGAAAAATATTGGCTTCAGAAACCTTCGGTTTTCAGATTGTCAAGGAGAAAACTGGCATACATTTTAAGTGGAATTTCCAGGAAAAAAATAGATTTACAGGTTAGAAGGGGTAGAAGAATATCCACCCTTTGTCCTTTTTTTCCTTTAAAGAAGAACTGTTCTTTATGTCCAACCAGATAAAATGCAGAGTTATGAGCATAGACAGGCAGCAAGAAAAGGCGAGACCACCCCTAGAGCCGATGTAAAGGTGCTGGTAGAGAAGTCTCCATTCTGTGCTTTGATTCCTTTACACGTTTACCAAACAGGCAGAAAGGGGCCCAGTGAACAAGAAACCTCCTTGTGTGATGGGCCCAGAATCTATGCTTCCAAGGCTACACCTAGCAGTGTGCATAAGCCCAAGACGACGGTGTCTCCAGATCAACACTCAGTACCAATTTTGACCTATTCCATTTTGCAAGCCCCTTTCTAATTCAGCCAAGGATTTCCTCTCCTAAAATTCCTGTCAAATTAAGACCTAGAAAAGAGAGCCCAGATTTTCTTTAGTGCGAAACAGTGTTGATTTGTAAGGTGTCAATCAGCTGTTGACCGGAAATGAGGTGCCTCAAATGCGGCGGTTCCTCACTTAACGTCCCCTTTAAGTTCTCGAAACTGTGGTGAAATGACTGTAACGAAGCCAACTTTAACGTAAGCTGACTGAAGTAAACAAGAGTTAAGTTTCTATATCATCTCATCACTGTAAGGAAGTGACAAATGATGTTGAGACATTGTCCAAAGACCCACTGTGGTTCGAGGCCCTGGTAGAGGGCGCTCTCGGTGGGATGTGACAAGCCCTCTCAGTCTAGCTCGTTCCTCTTGTCCTCTGTCCCTGGCTGATCAGATATACCCAGGGGGCTCAGCTCTGCCAGGGCTATGAAGAAGGGAGCAGCCAGCTGTCCTGGGGAAGGCTTGTGCCCCTGGGCAGGGACCTGCTGCCCTCCCTCACCGCCCCTCTCTTCCTTCTCTCACTGTCCTCTTGTCCTTCTTATCCTCCAGCTCTTGACCCAATTCCACTTACAGTCAGACCTCCAGGACCCTGGGTCATTCTTCTCATCCAAAATGACGGGGAATAACTTTACCTGTTGTGTCAGAGCCCGCCTGTGACTGGGTCCCAGAGTTGGCGGCAGAGGAGGACGGGGCCAGCCTCTGCTCTGGGCTCAGGTTTGGGGGAGTTCATTCTAACAGCTCTGGGTCAAGGAGGAGATCCCCTGGTCCTGACCTGTTTCTCAGCCTGATGTCAGTAGAACAGGGTGAGTAGGGGTGGGGCCCAGGCATCTGCAATATTTAGGAGCTCCCAGTGATTCTAATACACAGTGAGGAGTGTGAGGTGAGAGCTGGGGGGGAGAGTGGATGAGGGGAAGACAGCAAAAATGCAAGCCAGGCTCTGAAAAGCAACTTGGGGGTTAGGACCCTTGGGGAGCCAGGGTCAGGGGCCAGGGCCACTCACCTCTTGTCCAGCAGGAACTCTACCTCCAGCTCCTCCATGCCCTACAGGAGGAGGAAGGGAGGGCGGCTGTGAGCCGTGAGCTGCCCCGGGAGCCTCTGAGCTGCCCAGCCTTCCCATGAAGCTGTCTTGCTGATACGGAGCGGGGACAGCTGCTCCTGGCCATTGTTGTTCCCTCTGCCCCCTGCTGTCCCTAGTCTTCGACATCAGGAACATCACCGACCATCCAGGGGCAGGGTCAGGGTATGAAGATGACCCTCAACCCCAGCATTCAAACTCTTCTGCCCCAGAATATTTCCCTTTCATCTTTTACCCCCATTACTCTACTTCACAATTACTCTCCTGCCTTCCCGAAGGGCTGTGCAGGGGGCAGGCAGAGCTGTGATATTGCCCCCAGAGAGTTCAACCCTGAAAGGGAGGGGCCCCTTTTCTGCCTATTCCTTTACACTTCCTACTGTGTAACTTCAGGCAACCTGGGACTCACTGGACCTTAATTTCCCCACTGAAATGTAATCCAGGCGAGGGCAGGGCTGCTCCAACCCTGACGTGTCCCCAGTGCCTGACCCATAGTGGGCGTTCAAGTATTTGTTGAATGATCCAATCTGTGGTCTAACTTCCTGATCCTTTTCAGCTCAGACTCTCTCTGATTTGCAGATTCGCCCTCCTTCACTGTCATCTGTCCCCTGTCCCCTCGGGCTATCCTGGCAACAGGAGTCAGGAAAGGAGAGGAGGAAAGGCAATCAACCCTTACTGCATCTTCACTTAGTACTGTGAACAGTGCAAGGGGCCTTAGTCACAGTTTCCCACTTCGGTCTCACAGTATCTCTGTGTGATAGGTACTAACATCACCATTGTAGAGAGGAGGAAAAAGAACTCAGAGGAATTAAATAATTCCCACAAGGTCATAGTGCTAGTAAGCACTAGCACTGGGATCTGGATCAGCGGTCGTCCTCCCCTGACTTGACTGTTACGCAGAGAGGAGCCTGTGGAAAGGTGTCATGGGAATGACCAGCAGCTCCTCACAGGGCAGGAGGCGGAGGGCTTGGCAGCCGCACCCACCTCCGGGTTGAGTGGGAACTTCACATGGGTTTTCTTCCTGAAGCAGAGCTTGGTGAGGTCATAGAGAACTGTCAAGAGATGGTCATCTGGTGTCGCCGTGTCTTCATCACAGACGCTCAGCTCTAGCACGTTCTAGGAGAGAAGGCGGGGCACAAGTGTGGTCAGGAAGTTTGCATGGACCCGTTGACCTGTTTCCATTGACCTCAGTCCTACCAAGGGGGTGGGTCTGAGGATCAGGCACCAGCACAAAGGTCCTTGCTCAGGTGTGAGAGACGTTTGTAGGGAAATGAGTTTACAGAGCATAGTGCCTACTCCACCCTTTCTAGTTCTCTGAAGCCTTCCTGCCCTCTGCTCTGACTCCCCTGTTGGAGAATTTGGCAAGCTTGGCAGGAGCCCGTGAAGTGTGAGGGATTTCATTTTACCCGAGGGAAGGATGGGAGGGCAGAGCAAGCAAGACTCCTGCCAGGATATGGAATGTGTTCAGCTCTGGGGCCTCAGAGCTGAAGTCAGCTCCGGTGGTGTTAACAAACCTAGATCAGGGAAGCTAGCATCTTAACCAGGGGAGTGACGTGCCAAAGGTTACAGGCATTCTGACACTTGATGGGGCTGGGGTCAGGTGTTAGAACTCCATCCTTTGGCTCATCAGCTCCTAATAAAGTCTTAAGGATGGTCCCAAGGCAGCATATCAAGAGTTGAGCACCTACTCTGTCATGTGACTGAACTCTGAGGTCAATGGTCTCGGGTGACACGGATTAACCTCTGAGTCCCCTTGTTCTAAGGATCCTGGGAGACGTGGGTTGGGACTGGGTTCGCCTCTTTGGTCCCTGTTTGGTACACCTTGGGTGGTTCTGAGCTTTGGCAGCCGAGTGAGATCTGTTGACATTGTAATTACTGGAAACCCAATTCTGTCCCAGAACAAACCCAGGAGCCCCCTAGGTCTTTAGACAAAGGAAGCCCAAATTCTGATTTCAAGATAGCCAATTGAGCCCACATCAAAACCCACTTCTTTCACCAGAACCATGTGTATGGTAAATGTTTTTAAAGCAGTAAATATAAAAATTACTTGCAATGAAACAGAAATAGAAAAACATGTCTAAAGTATAAAACCAGTAAGCTGGAGAGAGCTCCCAAGTCTCAAATGTTCCAAGACTGGTTGATGCCTCCATGATGAGGCCAAGTTTCTCACAAGGAGCACTCTGCTGAGGCTGCCAAAACTCAGCGTGCTCAAGGAGATGCAAATTTGACTCAAGGTCACCTTATCTCTAAATAGGACCAATACCATTGAATAGATCAACAAATGAAAGAACACACCCCCAAGGAGTTAGTAATAATAAAGCAATCTAAAAAGATTAACATAGAGAAAGCCCTCTGCATAGAATTAGGCTGGCCTTGGACCTAGTGAATAGAATGGTTCTTCTCTTTGGTGTATTCTCCTGCTTGGAGTATGTTTTGGAAGGTGCTGGAAGCACACTCTATTTGGAGGCAAGAGACACCTAGTTCCAGAAACAATTAGGTACAAGGACAAGAGAGATAGGAAAGAAGGCGGAAGAATAAGCAGACACAGAGAGTGATAAATATGAGATAAGCTGAAAGGAGGGGTTGGTTGAGTGAGACAATAGGTCAAGTAGGTAGAAAGAAAGACAAATGGGCATAAGGAGGACATGTGAACAAAGAGAAGGACAAGCTTGCAAGGAGGGGAATGGAAATGCCCCCGGGACAGATGGGTACGGTTCTCTGCCACGTCCACTGCCGCGTCCACTGTTGGATCCCTCTCTCCGTGACAAGGTCCTGAGAGGGGGTGTAAGACTTCAAGGAAGCAGTTTCCAACCTGGTGGACGTGGCATGGAAGGCCCTGCAATACCTATTGTGATTGTGCTTGCTTTAGAGATCATGACCCTTTTACTTTAATCATTATGAATACCCTGGCAGTGATTCAGATAGTGTGCCTGGACCTTTCCCGGCTCAATAAACAGAACAATAATATCATACTAGAACGTCAGGGAATATAGGCACAAGGAAACAATCAAAACAATCTGAGAATTCAGGCTTAATCAATAACAATCATTAGAAAAACACCCAAGATAAGATAGAATACTCTAAGAAATCAGGAGATAATCTCACTACTTTCTTAGAAGGAATTAAGTACAAAACATGTTTATAAAAAGTACTCCTAGAGAAACTTAAAAGAAGTACCCTTGAAAGCCCCCTGCAACATAGGAACAGCCCCTCCTTTACCTTGAATAGGAATATATATCAACTAGACAGGCAAAGTAATAACAAAAGCTAGTTAGTTATTACAAACTGAACAGTCACTAGGGAGTCAGAATTTATGGTACACTGAAAAAACATTTTAAGCAGAAAGGGTAGATAGCTAAGTTAGACATCACAAGGGCCTTATAATAAATCTCCTATTTTCTCTACTCAGTCTAGTGTATCCTTATACCCTATATCAAATTCTAGACCTTTAATAAACAATAAGACATTCAAACTCTGTACATAGAGCTATTTCAAATCGTCTGATTAATGGTTCTCCTGGTCATAACAATTTTTGTTTAATATAACTGAAACTATGGAAATTCTTGTACTTTTCCTGGTTACCTCTGTATTGATTTTTTCTGCTCAAATGATCATGTTATACTGCAAATATTAATCACTACCTGAAATGAGAATTATAAAAACCTGCTTGTACTTGCAATAAACGGAACAGAGCTTCACTGTCCTTTGAGGCGTGTTGTCGTCTGTTACCCAGCGCCGACGCCTACCCTCACCTGTGGGACCCCTTGACCCGCTGCGGCTGGACCGCGGCAGTTCTCCCCATCTCACCTTCACTTGGCTCTGGATCTGGAAATTGAAGCTTTCATCCCACTCTGGGTTGAGGCAGTTGGAGATGGTCCTAGTCCTCAGCTTCTCATGAGAAGCGGTGGGCAGCGAGAGGCTCACGTAGCAGTCTGTCTGGCTCACTGTCCGATGAAGACAAATGTGGGAGGAAAGAGCAAGTTGTCAGTCCAGGTCCAGATTGGAGAGAGTCAGAGTCAGAAGGGAACCTCAGGCAAGTCACTTCCAGAGCAAGAAGGCCTTGTCTCAGCTTCAGGTCCCCCAGACTCATGAGTCTGACTCTCCAGAGACTTCTGTCCCAGAACCCTGAGAAGATCACAGACTGTGGGCTAGGGGTTTCACAGAGGGGGACCCAGGTCTCGCTGACTGTTCTCATGGACACAGATGGCCTCTGGCTCTTATCAGAAGCACCCTGGATCTGTGGTTTGAGACAAGAGCATCATGCACGGTCGTCTCTCTGCCAGGGAAAGATCTGGAGGACCAGCCCGAAGAGTCCAGTTTACCTTTTCCATTAACCCAAGGCACCAGGGAAACAAAAGTAGGTCTCAGCTCTTCCTCTGGGCTGAGGAGAAGCAAGGATTAGAAGAGACTCAGTCTGTTGTCAGTCAGCCCAGGGGGCCCCAGTAGAAAAGTTCTTGGGAAGAACAAGCTATTCAGCAGGATCTAGGAGAGGGAATCACCATCAACATATGACTCAATATCTTAACTGCAGTGCTGGGTTCTTCATGCCTACACTGGTCTTCCAGCATGAGGTGTGTGACTCAAGAAACCCTCACATCAGAAGCCACATGCTTTTTAAAAAAATTTGAAATGAACAACCCAAGTGAGCTGATGCTGGCTGTGGTCTGGAGAAGGGACAGAAGCTGTGATCCCAGCAGGTCCTCCCAAAGTCCTCCCAGGGCTTTTGGTTGGAGCGCCAGAAGTCATAGGGTGAAAAATAGCAACCCAGCCTGGCTCCCTGCTTCCGTTCCACCCTCGAGAGGGAGCAAGAAATGCCATGACTGCCCCGTCACTCCCCTGGCAACCTGCTGGGCCAATTCCCAGGGTTCACACCAGATACATAGAAAATGAGAAAAGGCAGTAGTTCCCAGTGTCAGAGAGTTCTCCGGGTGGCAAAGCTGTTGTGGGCACAGGAGTCCTGTACTGATAGGACCAATCCAAACTAGTTCGGAGTTGTCACTAGTAATGTCCTGTGAGAGTGGAACCGGAGGCGTACCTCTAGGCTGACTAGTTCCTGCATCATCACTACCCCAAAAACTTTATCCAAGTTAATAACCATGGATTGCATCACAAGTGTCCCTAGCTTGTGATTTTTCCCCTCTGTCTAGTTAATCTTTGAGGGCTTATCACTCAGTGAATTGGCATTCACAGCCCTCTTCCCACTGAATAAAGGTGAGGTGACACTGTCCTTTACAGGTCATAATCATCATTTAATCCAGACACACAAAGAATGACCAATACCGAACAGAATGGAAAAAAAAAAAATCCCCATCATCCCCTCCATGCCTAGTCTGCTACTTTTCAATGTCAACTCAGGTGTCCAGGCCAGACACCAAGTATTGTCCTTGACTCCTGCATCAAGTTGCTTCAGCTCCTTTGACCTCTCCAGCCCACCTGCATCTCCTTACTGGCACTGGCACTGCCACTGCCTTGCCACAGGCCCCCTTCATCTCTGCCGCCCCTTTCCCACCGGGCACCTTGTCTTCTGTCTTGCCCTACTCGAATCTCTTCTCTCAAGAGAAACCAGAGGCATCTTTTTAGATCTGACCGTGTCACTCCCCAGTTGAAGATCCTTTAACAGCTCCCATCTGCCCGCAGAAAGGAGTCCCGCCCACTCGACATGGCTGCCCCTGCCAACTTCCCCAGACTCCGCCTTATCTTTGCACCCTCCCTGCACCCAGCCCCTATCCTGCCGCCCCCCACACATACACACACAGCTGCACCTGTACTTACACTTGCACTCGAGACTCCAGCCAAACCCAATCACTGTAGATCTCAGAAGGCACTGTGCTGTTCTATCATTCCTTCTGCCCAGAATACCCTTCTCTTCTGCTTTCACCTTGCTTTTCCCTTGGCTAGGCCTCTTTAGATTTCAGAGGGAACTTCCTCTGGAAGCCTTCCCCCAGACCCCAGATCTGGGCCAAGTGCCCCTCCTAGCCCAGAGCCCTCTGCTCTTCTCTCTGCGGAGCACTGGCTAACAGTGCACCCTGGACACTGGCAGGACCGGAAGACAATGCGTCAGCACTTAGTAGGCAACTGTTGGGTAAATGAATGAATGTAAAAGCCAAACTTCCTGCTGTTGAGCTGCATCAGTAACCCCAGAAATTCTGGCTGAGTCACTGCAGATATAGGGAAGCAAATTGGCATGCTTAATCCCTCTGCCCACAGGGAAACTCCCTAGGGACCTGCCCAGTCATCCTGGATCTCTCCTGTGGCTCTTTGCGGATGCCAACCCCTCCTCCTCGGCCTGTGACACTCTCCTTCCGTCTGCCCCTGTATACCAGGAGCCTGCAGGCAGTGACTTCACCCATTTGGGTAGCATGACACAATGGGCCCAATAAAGGCCCTTTCCCTCTAAAAACCCTTTTCTATCATCAGTCTATGCCTAAAATTCTCCCATTAAACACATTAAATAAGCCTCAGTATTATTGGCCTGGGAGAGACAGAGTTGATCGGATACCGACACCTCAAGTGTTATTTCGTTTTTCAGTCCTTTTGCAGAGAGCTGTTCCCACCTCCTCCCCATAAGTTGGGAAGGAAAATGCAGCCCAAAGAAGAGGTAATCTGGGGCAGGGAGGGATGATGGAAGAAATCCAGATGGCAATAAGGAACAGGTGTCCTTAGCCGACTGTGAGGACAGTGACTGTTGTGTTTGTGATGAGAAATGGTCAGTCAATGGTGACCCAATTCTGAGAACTTCAGGGTGCAGGGGATTTCCTAGGCATAGATACCTTCTAATTCTCGTTCCTCGTGGAGTGACAGAGGGCTTGGTCATCTGAATGACGTATATCCTTTCTCAGAATGTGGGTGGCCCGAATGACTCAATGATCTCTACAGAGGATGAGAGCACTGTCTCCCTAGTACCTCTAGAGACACCTGCCCTACCTCTTTTTGGGGCTGGTTTGCATTTTAATGTATTTCCCCAAGAGGAGTGAAAACAGTTGACAGCTGGGAGGTTTCTGAGATGACTGCCGCCCAGTTCCAGCCCAGTCTGTGTGGCACGCTCCCTGGTCAGGGGGGTCATTCCCGAATCTCATCCCTCCATCCCTTCTCTTTCAGGATCCTTGAGCTCTTGGAAACTCAGACACACATTAGAGGCTGAACCAGAGAGGAGCATGCTTTTGATACAAGACAGAAGGGAACAGCTTGGGGTGAGGGTAGCCCAGGACCTGGGAGACCTCAGGGTAGTCTCCAACCTTACCAGCTAAGGCAGCCACAGGGCCCACCGTAGCTGTGGGGTCCAGACACAGCATGATGGGGCTGGCTCCCCAGACGCTGTGCATGCCCCACCCCTGCTCCTCAGGGGAAATGAAGGAAACACAGACAACAAGGGGTGCTCACCCCAGTTACCCTTAAAAGGCAGCCTGTGTGCCAAGGTGCATATGAGGAAGGGGAAAAGGGGTGGAGGAGCCAGGCCTCAGCCCGTCTCCCTAGCTGTCTGCCCCCCTAGTCCCCAATCTCTCATCAGGGGCATGGTATGGAGAAGATAGAAAGGCCCTGGGCAGTGGGGAGATCTGTGCATTTAGGTGTATACATGCTGCGTGACCCGCAGGGCTGGGACAGACACACCTGGAGTGGGTGGAGGCGCCAGCTGTGGGTGTGAGCGCTGAGGCTGTCCCTGGGCGCAGGGGTGGGTGGGGGTGGGGGGTAGAGGAGTGGGGGTGTTGTGGGAAGAGTGGCATGGGCAATGAAGGCGAAAGAAGCAGCCGGGCCCCAAGCCCGTGGGACACTTCCACATTCCACAAATCACTCGCTGGTGGGCTGGAAGGCCTTGAGGAGCTTGACGATGAACCCCTGGCCCTTCTGGCAGAGCTGGGTCCAAGTTGGACACTGGCTAGAACTGCTCCTGCTGGAATAGACTCTGTGCACTTGCAGCCCAGGGAGCTTGGTCTGAATCCAGCCCAATCCCTTTGGTTTCTCTGGGCTCAGGGCCCTCCCCTGCTCGCCTCTGCACTCATCCCTGCCTGGCAAGTTTCTCAGCCTCTCCCCACCTCTGCTGCAGCACAGCCTGCACTGGAGCCCTGGGAAAGTCATGCGACCACTTCCTTTAGGGCTCAAGTACTCATCGCTTAGATCCTGGCCTTCCCACTGCCCAGCTTCCTCACCCCGCCACTGGCTCTAGCCTCCTTCTCCAGCTCATTACTTCTGCTCCCCAGCTCTCCAGACCCGGGATGCAAACATTTTTTCAACCCTGGTGTGCAAAGTGGGCCTCACAGCACCACCCTCAGGCTGTCAGGAGGACCGTGAGGTGTTTGGACCTCTGGTCCTGGGCTGGTGCCAGCAGGTGCTCTGGGGATACATCCCCTTCTCCCTTCAGGACGGTCCCTCCCCAGACAGACGCTCACACCCTGCCTCTCTCAGCCCCAGGACCCCAGTGCAGCCTTCCTTAGCTACTAACAGTTTCCAGGGTCCTCCTCTGGGTCTTAAGTTCTGTAATGACAAGATTACAAAGCCATGTTCTCCGACTCTTCTACAGCCACTTTCAGCTGGTTTGTGTCCCTTTGTTAGGAAGTGCACTTGGTGTCACGGTCTGTGCACTGCCCACCCCTCTGAGTTGGGTCTGAGTCTAGTGAAGCCTGGGGAAGCCTGGTGGCTGCTGGGCTATTCTTGTGTGGTCACCAGGGCGTGGGGACACCCCCTCAGCGGTGGAGCAGAGTTTTCTCCTCCTTGAGGTCCAAGCTTTCTCTCTCAGAACGGGTGGGGGGTAGAGAAGAGGGAGGCATAGGGAGGGGCTTTTGGTTCCCCTGATCTTCTGAAATGCCACCCCAAAGACAGTTATGGGGGGAGCATCCTGTCCACTCAGATGCTGTCATTTCTTCCTGAAGCCAGAGACTCCTCTGGGCCCCTATGGCCTGCAAACGCCACAGAGGCTGAGGCGAAGGTAAAGAGAGGCTTCAGGAAAGCACTGTATAAACAGCCCTGGTGAGTCAAACCACATCATGGGGCTGAACTGCAGGGCTGGGGAGCCAGGGGACTAGGCCGGCAGCTGGCCCGCTGATGCCTCGGGGGCTCTCCTTCACCCTAAACAGCCCCTAAACTCACGCAGAAGCCAGGAGTGCCCGGCATGAGGGAAGCTGGTCCTGGAAATGGAAACTGGGGGTGGGGCACTGGGAGGAGAGAGTGGGGTGGGCAGGGCTCTGCGGTGCGGGCAGATGCAGGGGCTGGCACTGCCAAGGCTGCAGCTAGTAGGAGGGGCCAGGAAATTGTCTGAAATACAAACTGAGTGTAGAACACACACACATACGCATGCACACATTCATACACACGGGCACACACAGACACACCTGACCGTGTGTCCAGCCGGGGCCTCTCTCCGGGCCCTGTAGGCAGAGAAGGAGGGAACTGAGAGAAAGGTACTCACCCCTGTCGGCCTGTCGGACATTTTTCATCCGGATGATCCTCACTGTTAGCAGGTAGCATGGGGACAGCCCCTCCTGTGGAGTGAGAGGACAGTAGACTCACAATTCAGACGACCATGGCAGGTGGCCTTGACAGAGAGCAGCTCAAGCTGGCCACAGGCTCCCCCTCCCTGGGCTGCAGAAGGCTCCCCAGACTCAGTCCGCATTGCTGGGCCCTGGAGGCCTGCCTGGTCCCCTGGGGCCCAGGCACGGAGGTGAGGGTCTTCTCCTCACCCCTCTCTGAGCCAGCACACCCTGGAGGAGGGACAGCTTCATGCCTGTTACGTTCATGTCTTTTCTGTTTGAGTCTTGGGATTTGAAGCTCTTCCTCTGAAAGTTTTACCCAGGCTTAGATGAATCTTTGTAAAATCGACTCCCAGCCCATGCCCACGGCAGGTGCCACTGGGCTCCTCCAATTCTCCGAACAACCAGGATTATGGAGGCCCCCGAACTCAGACCTTTACAGCGCACACAGGACACTCCATGTTGATAGAATCACTTTATAGCTTTTTAAAAAAGATTTTGTTTATTTAGAGGGGAAGGGAAGGAGAGAGCGAGAGAAATATCAATGTATGGTTGCCTCTCGTGTGTCCCCTGTTGGGAACTGGCCTGCAACCAAGGCATGTGCCCTGACTGGGAATCGAACCGTGGTTGTTTGGTTCGCAGGCCTGCGCTCAACCCACTGAGCTACACCAGCCAGGGCCACTTTATATCTTTTTAAGAGGATGCAATTCTTCTCTATTTAAAATAATATTGGAGTTTGGAAAAAACAAAACTCCAATACTAAAAGTATGAAGAAAAAGAGAGTACCTATAATCTTACCACTAAAAAATGATCATTATCATCATTAATTTTTTAATGTTATGATTTTTTTTTTATTTTCAACTCCGATGGTCCACACGTAGCTCATCTGCTTTGGCTACCATCAGAGGTAATAATATTTGTAATAGGTAGCATCCATTGAACACTGGCTATTTGTCAGACACTTTTCTTAATTTCTAATCCTCATTAGACCTTTGTAATAGAGGTGCTGATACCTTTTTCACAATTGAGATGTGACTGATGTGTAACACTGCACTAGTTTTAGGTGTACAACACAACAACTTGTGTATAGATATACAGCTGTAGATGTTACGATATGATCTCTGCAGTAAGCGGAGTTAGCATCCATCTCCACATATGGTTGTGATTGTTTTACTTGTTATGAGAACTGTTGTCATTTTGATGTCTGTTCTTCCAGCCTCTTCTGGGGCTTAATTCCAACCAGTAGTGGCAGAATGATGGGCGTTGCTCAGGCCCTGAGATAGGTGTGTGGTCAGTTTTAGGGTCCTTGACTGCTCTCTCCCCAACATCTGCCTCAAAATCAGAGCAGAAGCTGATCTGGTGGCCATGTCTAGTTGAAGGGTTCCTTTTGTGAGGTGCACTCTGAAGTGCTGAATGTCTTCATGGCCAATACCTGACTCTAACGGGATTCTGTTCTGAGCATTGAAACTTGGGCCAAAGGCCACACGAACCATTTCTTTTCTGGCTCTAGAGACATGGCTGTGGCCTTTGGCCAGACCCCCTTGGGCACACTGGGGTCCATCCTTCTCATTCCCTCCCTGGGCAGAGCGGTACCACGGTCTGATCTGGTGTGGGAGGAGGAGTCAGCTTTCACACAGGTGAACACTTCTGGCAAAGCGTGCTCCCACCGACCCACTTCCTCAGAGGGCAACTAGAGGGCTCCCCGTGGGAAGCCGCCCAAGGCTTCGGCCAGGCAGGGGTCTGTCCTCAGGGGCATTTCATAGTGTTGAAGGGCTCCGAGCCCACAGCCCTGGTCCTCTTGGCCTTCACTACCCATCTCCTGCCTCCAGGAGGGCTGCCTTCGGCCCTGCCCGGCTCTCTTGTGTCCTCTCTGGGAGGGAATGAGCCTTTGCAGTTTCCTGCAGGCCCTCCCTGAGGTGTCCCCACCTTCCAGGGAAAGCTGTCGGCTGTCATCTTCCCTGATAACTTCAGTGACCACTGACTGTTTCTTTCCACTCTGTCTCAGAAATAGTAACCACACCAGCTACCACCTGCCGAGTGGCTGCCACCTGCGGAGTGTTGTGTGTATAACCTCTGCCTGTTGTCTTGCTCAAACCTGATGACACCCCATGGAGCAGTTATTATTACAGCCTCGTTCCACAGATGGAGAATCTGAGCCCAAGTCCTTCGACCTCTGGCACTCAGCAAGAATCAGAGGAGCCGTGTTTGAATCCAGTTCTAATTCTTAGGCCCAGGATCATAACTTTCTAACTTGAAAGCGGCCCCCCGCACACACGCAGACAGGTGCTGCTCAACCTCATCTCCTCTTCCCCTTGCTCTTAGAATCTATGATCAGAATCTATTTCCTGACAGATTCTTCTTTTTACCCTGAATTTCCCCCAAACCCCCAAAGAACCCCAAGGGCTGGCCATTTTCCCAGTTGCCATTCTCTAAGAGGCCACACTGTCTGTCTCTCTTTTAAAAAGGCAGGGCACATCGGAGCCAGAAGGGTTCTTGGAGAACTTTCCCCTTTCTCATAGCCACGGAGGGCTCCTTGCATCTACCTGGAGCTTCCCATCACACCTTCTAGCCCAATTTCAAAGTCCCCTCAAAGTCCTCCTACGTCTCCCAGCAGGCAGTCAGGGCCCAGAGGGCCCAGGGTGAGGGCGGCAGAGGGAACAGGGCACTAGATTCTTGGGCTCAGATGATTTCAGGAGCCAGCACTCTAAAAACTGACTTTCTTGGCTTAAAATGGGTCTTTTGCTCCTGATATAATATGCTTGATTGGAGTGGGGCTAGAGATAAGCACAAATTTGTGGCCCCAGACGTAATGGATACGCAGCAGAAAAATGCAGGAGAACAAAGCCGAGTGTCTGTGACTGCACAGACGGGAAGCAGAAACCAGTGAGATTAAGAAACCTGAGTTTGCGGGTGGCTTATAGTGTGTTGAGAGCAAGGACTTCAGGGACTTGGACAAGCCCATCCCCAGAAACAGGATGCCCTGGTTGAAACACCTGATAGCAGGCATGGCCAGGCCCCGTGCCAGCTGGGCTGCAGCTCTGGAGCAGGGGCAGGCACGAATCCTACGGTTCATTGGGCATCAAAGGGTCTCAGGGTAAGGACAAGAGAGCACTCAGGGTGCTAGAGCTCCAAGCAGGGGCTATTCGGCAAACAGTACAGAAATGCATTTAGACATATCAGCAGCCGGTAGAGCCATGTGGGGAGGATGCGTAGAGAGCAGTTTTCTGGGACGCCTTTTCAGGCTGTCAACGTGTGTTGCTTCTAGCTTCCTCCCCAGCCTTGGTCCCTGGGGCTGAGCTTGCCTGCACTTCATTTCCCTCCAGACCTCCTAAGACGGGGGCATCTGCTAGCTCGTGTGAAAAAGATGTAGCCCCTTGATTTTCAGGAGTGGCCATCATGCATTCCAACACTACCCATTCCCAGCCCATTGCTTTATAGTTAGGCCTTTTGGGGGAGAGGCCGGAGGACATAATTCATCACCCTCCTCTAGGGTGCCAAGTGCTGATGCCACACTGGGTGCCCTGCATCTGTTCTCACCTGGCCCTCCAACCCTGCTCTGAAGAGGGTACTATTACACCTGCTTTGCAGAGAAGACTGAGTTTAGAGAAACTGCATCTCACACTGGATCACGCAGCCCAGCGGTGACAGGGCTCAGGTGTAGGTCTCCCTGACTGCAGGGCAGCGTGCCTTCCAGCTGCCTGGACACTGGCCCTCACCATGAATGAACGAAATCAGCTAAAATCTTGCTCCAGGTCTTGCCCTAGACTAGCTCACAGCAGAAGCAGGAGTAAAACGCTAGCTCTCAACTTTGGACTCTCCTTATACCCGAGAATCTACCAACCACTACAAACTAGTCAAAATTTAGTTACAGGTAGTCACTCAGGGTCAGGTTCCAAGGGAAGGTGGCAGTGGGGAGGGGGGTCTGACAGCTCCGTTTGAGCCGTGGTGGGTCTGATGCCCACCCTCAGGTCAGGCATACCCTAACCAAACCAGCCCACAGGGTCTGTGGCACCAATGGTGGGAAGCTAGCGCCCCTGGAGCCTGTGGGAACCGCCCTCCCCAGGGCTTCTCAGGGCCAGCCCGGCTGGTGATGCCATCTCCTCCTTTCCAGAAAACTGGGTGGATCCAGCAGTGCCTTTCAACACCCTGTCAGACCTCAGACCAGCCTGGCAATAGCTCCCAGGATGCACAGGCCTGTCCTAAAAGGAGACCATCGGGGTGGGGACTCTGCAGGACCACAGAGCATTCCTCAGGCAGTCTGAGCAACATCCCAAACCAGGGGTCACCTGCAAGGAGCCACTATGGCTGTTTTCCTTTTTACCACCCAGGCTTGGTGAGGGGGCGGGGCAAAAAGGCCCAGCTCTGAGTCACGGACCTTCCAGCACCTGAGACGGCAGGCGCAGTTTCCAGTTGTGGAGGGACTGCACAGCCCAGCCCAGGCTCTCAGAGACTGAGTAAGACTGGAGAGGGGGAGCAAGCGCTGCCCACCTCCTGCACGAAGCCTTCTCAGACCCGCTCTCTCCTTTCCCCGCAGACATCCACTTTTCACCTTCTGTGCTCTCGAGCCAGCTGTTCGCTCCAGAAACCACAGATGTTTACACATGTGAAGGATTTGTATTGACCTTCCTAGGACATCCCTGTTACCACAGGATACTTGCATCTCTGAGCCCCTGAGGGCTATTTAGCTGCTAACTAAAGTTTCTGGAGGGCTGTGGGAAATGTGGGCACACCACTGAAAGCCATGTCTGTTCTGGCGAGGGCATCGGGGCACCGGCACCATCCACCACAGAGCTCCCTCCTGGGGTCCATGGAGACTGAACAGGGTCTCCATCTTCCACCCCAAAAGTACAGGACACTTCCAGGGCATCGCTCCTCTCATTCAGTGATTTAGTGTGGGCTGGGGGAAGGTAATGAGAAATAAGTAGCTGCTGACAGTCGTTGACATGGCGCGTCTACAGCAAATCGGAGATGAGATAAGGTAGGAAAGCCAAGGCAGAGCTGAACCAGGGCCCTGGCAACCTGACCATGAACCTGGGGTCTTCCTGCCAGACTGAGAGGAGTTGGCGAGACCCAGGAGTCTTGACCACAGACCCAGGAGTCTTGACCAGAGACCCAGGTGGGAGGCTTCTTGGCCAATAGTGACAGGTGGGCAGTGTCACTGGCCCTCACCAGACATCACACCACACGCTGACACAGCATGGCTGTTTCAGATGTCCACAGAGTAAGTACCTGCTCACTGTGAGGATAGGCCAAATGTGGGCCCACTCCTGGCAGTGCTGAGCCCTGTCCACCTGGCTGCTGGCCTGGCCCCAGCGTGGCCCTGAGCCACTCCATGGAATCTTGTCAAGCTTGTGGGCACCCACAGCTGGGCCAGCTACCCACTCCCATGTCTCTGGAATCCAAAGTACCCCAGCGCCCCCTGAGCCTGTCTCCTGCCCTCAGCTCCTGACCCACCCACCCAGCACAGCTGTCTTACCTCCAAGGTACAGGTACCCGAGGGTCTGCCATCTTCTGCTTGGCATGGGTCTGGTAGGTAGTGGGAGATCCAGGTGGGTATCTGCTTCTGGAGCATTGCTGTGGCTCTCCAGCTGGGTGGTGAGGCTGGGAATTTATACTCTGACTCAGAGCTCTGCTCTCTGGATACCTCTTGGCATTGGCTGGGATTGCCCGGGGAGGGATTAAGGTAGGTAGGCGAGCAGATACGGAGTCCCGGCCTAGATCTCTTAGTATCAAGGGACCCTCCAGTCCTCAGATCTAGAAATGCAGGGACCAGCAGGGGTTCTGACCTTGAGGTCAGAAATCTGCTGACCCCAGAAGCTCAGAATAATCAGCTCTGGGAATAGAGGGTGACAAGACGAGGGTGCTAACTCACGATTTTCGGATAAGCCCCTTCTCTTCAGCTGATTGAGGTCCTGGCTCAGACATGCACCTCTGGGGCGGGGCAGGGGGATGGTGCCTGCTTTTTTAACTTCACTTACTTCCATGGCTCAGAGCCAGAGAAGCTGGGGCAGGGATCTCATGGAGGCAGGGACCACGGCCAGGGCTCCTAAAGTTAGAGGGTAAAGAAAGAAAATAGTTGCCCAAGTCCTTGGTGAGGAGAATTGGTCAAGGGCAAGTGCCCCCAGATGCCCTCCTGGGAGGCCGGGTGGGGGGAGGGTGTGCCCAGCCCCTGCCTGGTCTCAGGGCAGCTTAGAGGATGCTCCCACCCCACCCAGCTGATCCCTATCTCTGGCCTGCTAGATGGCTCACTAGGGGGCCTGGTGAGGTAGCTTCACCTGCTTGGCTGCCCAACTCAGTATAGTGGGAGTTTCCTGCCTAAGCTATCGCCTGGGGCCCCACAACCGGCTTTTCTGGCCCACAGATTAAAGTACATTTATGAAACTGAGGGTGACATCTGAACACAGGGCTGACTGGGCACAGGGATGGAACCTGGTCAGTGGTATCTGTGGGACCTGAGCCCCTGCCAGTGGACCGTGTCACCACCCTGCTCCCCTCTGCCTGCCAGGCCCTCCAGAAGGGGAATGGGGCCTTGGCTTGGACCCCACCCTGCCCACGTCCTTCCTTGCTCTGACATCCATCCCACTGCCAAGGACACAAACTCAGCACCCACTCCTCTTGGTGGACTAAATTCAATTTAGTTTACACACTTAGTGAGTACCTGCTGTGTACATGCTAAGAGAGAAAATCCCTTGAAGTTGCTGGCAGTCCATCTGGGGAGCCGAACGCTTCCAGCTCCTCAGAGGCTCAGAGGCGCGAGTCTCTGCGGTAACAGGGGCTTCCTAGGAGGGCCAGTACAGCTCCTTCACCCGTGTAAACTCGGCAGTTGCCAGGGCCCACAGCTGGCTAGAGGGCACAGAAGATGAAAAGCAGATGTCCGCTGGGGAGGGAGAGAGTGGGTCTGAGAAGACTGGGGGATGAATCGGGTCTTGGAGGATGGAAAAGATTTCAGTAACTAATGAGAGGTGGGAAAGGCATGACGGGAGAAAGGAACAGTGTGAGCGAGACTGGGGAGGCCAGAAAGCAGGGTATGCGCAGGTGTGCGAGTGGTCTGGCATCAGAGATGGGAGTCGTATAGGAGGAGATACGGATTGTGGGGGCAGGAGGCAGGGTGGGGAGTGGGACCCCAAGGGTGGAAGTTGGGTGGAGAAAAGGGAGGCTTTGTGAAGGAACAAATCTGGAAAGATACATTAGGGCCTGGCCGTTGTGGCCCTCAAAGACCATGCTTTAAATTCAGGCTTTTTCTCTAGGCTGTGGGAGCCACCAACGTCCCATGGTTGTGGTTATTGTTGACACTATTACAGACGCCCCTGTTTTCCTCCCCTTCGCCCACCTCCACCCAGCTCCCACCCCCTTCCCCTGGCCATCCCACCCTGTCGTCTGTGTCTGTGGTCATGCACACATCTTTTTTGGCCGATCCCTTCACCTTCTTCCCTCCAGCCTCGGATCAGTGGTTTTTGAGCAGGATAGTGCCGAGGTCAGAGTTGAATTTCTAGAAGGCAATGCTGACTGATGTGTTTGGCAACCCAACCCACAGCACAGCCAAACCCTAAAAGTGACAGGGTGAGGGGTACAGTGCAGTCCGGGGGACCTTCTCCCTGAGGGCCCCACCTGTTCTCACTTTCTCTCCACTCCCCAACCCTTCCCCCATGAAACAGACGGAAGGCAAGCCCCCAGATCCAGGGCGTTCTTCAAAGCCCGGAACTTGATCCTCTCCTCACTGAGGGAGCCCAGCCACGAACCACCACAGCCCGCCCAGCTTCATCCGCCCCAGGCAGTGCATGGAAGATCTAGCTCTCGGATCCTTTTATGAACGTTCCCTCACTGTGCACAAACTCCTCAAGACCGGCGCCTCACTGTAGTTAAATGAAATCAAGTTGAATAGAAGGTGGGTGGAAGCTTCTTCCTCCATGCCTTTGCCATTGCCTCCAACCCAGGTCGGAGCTGGTGCAACAGCAAACTGAGTCAACCTTCCGTGACCAAGCACTTGCTGAGTGCCTACTGTGCGCACATCTGGGCGCTGAAGGCTCAGAGCAAGTTTGGGAAGGAAACAGAGAATTTATGATCTAATGAGGGGGGAGCAGGGCTGAATTAAGTGCAGACTTGTCCAGTGTGAATTCTGGTGTGGGGCAGGCGGGGACAGGGGCTCCAGTGTGGGCTCAGTGGGAACTGGGCTGGGCAGGTACGGCGTGCCTTGCAAAGAGACAATGTCCACAGAGTGAGGGGTGCCTAATCCCCTCCCCGAATCCACCGTGTCTCCAAATAAACATGCAGTTTAGGCTTAAACACTGTTCTTGGTGCCCTCTCCCTGCCCCCAGAGTTACCTTGTGTGGAAACTCTGGCCGCCGTCTCTGCACAAAGCGGAAGGGACTAAGTTCCTTTTCACCCAGCACCCCTCCTCCTCGAGGAGCAGGAGTCGGAGGCCTCTGCCTCTGGCTGTGTTTAGGGACTTGTTAACTGACTCCCAGGTGGGGTGACCAGGACCACTCATAGCCCCTGAGCCTCAGGTAACCCAACATTGGAAACCACTTTCCTCCCAGAAGCTCAGTGGACATCACTCCCCTGCGAACACAGCGGGGTGAATTCTTTGCCTTTCCTTTTTCAACATGCCCCGGGCACCGACCCTTCCGTCCTACCCTGCCTTTCAGTAGCATCTCTCTCCCAGGATCCTCTGCCTCCCACGACTCACCCCCCGCACACCTGACTGGCCAGTGAGCCTTGTGACCACCCGCTTCAACATGCTGTTCTCTTGCTCAAGGCAGCTCCTGCTTCTCCATTCTTTTCAGCACATTCTAGATTCCAAAACCTCCCGTAAACCAAAGAGAGCTCAGAAGCAGCCCTATGTACGTATCACATTTTATTCTATGATAAGGGAAGTATTTCAAATCAGTGGGAGAAAGAATAGACTACCTATTATTAGAAAAACTAGCTTGCCATAGGAATAAAACAAAGTTAGATCCCAACTTCCTGACTATAGAGGAATAAATTCTACAGATTAAATGCCTATTAAAATAATGATCTGGAAGATTTAAAATAAAATATTAGAGGATATTTAGATAATATTGGGATGAGAAGGACCTTCCTAAACAAAGTACAAACCTGGGAGCCCACAGGGAAAGCAGGCCAGGCTTGACTGCGCAGGAGTGCAAACCGCGCGAGGCCAGAGGAGCCGTGAGCACAGCTCCGCCTCCACAGTGTCTCCCGAGTTTCCTCCTCTCAGTAAATATTCATGGGTCACACAATCACCCTGGAAAAATAACAGTAAAGAAGAGAGTCTTGCCCTGCCAGATCCTAAAGATCAACTACAAAGCCACACTAATACAAACAGTAGGTTGTTGCTGCAAGAATAGGACCAAAGGAACAAAATGGAGGCGTCGGAGACAGACCCTGATATGTAAGGGACTTAATAAATGAGAACATTGGCAGCTCAGATTAACAGGAAAAGAGCATGCTGTTCCTTTAATGTTTAATAGATGATGTGGTCTCCTGTGACTCACTATTTAGAATAAAATAAAACAACATCCCCACTTAAACCCACATAAAAAGGGCTACAAACAGAATGCATGAAACGGAAAACTATAAAGTTAATAGGAGACAATGTAGGAGAATCTATTTACAATCCAGGGGCAATAAGGATTTCTTAAATAACATTTTGAAACCACAGACCATAAGGAAAAAAAACTTCTAAATTTGATTACATAAGAATTAAGGATTTGTGTCAACTAAGAACACACATTAAAAGTTAATATGTCCATAGTTGACAGAATGACGGAATACGTATAGTCGCCATGCAATCCCAAATCGCCGGAGGACTGATGCCCGGTGTGTACGAAGAGCTCTGGCTGGCGCTGCATGAGGAAGACGGTCCTGCCAACACACAAATGGACCAAAGACTTGAACGCAGGTTCAAGGTTTACAGAAAGGGAAACCCCAAAAGCTAATAAGCTCTTGAGGAAATGCTCAACATTATTGATAACTGGGAAAATCCCACGACAGTGAGATTTCACTATAGCTATTAAATTGGAAAAGGCTTGAGAAAGTCGGAGAGTGGTTGCACTTCTGCGTGGAGAGAATGGGAAAGGACATGTGAGTAGGGGCCGATAACCACCACAAAGGCAGGCGTGGGGCCTCGCTGTGACCGAGGGGGAAAAGGGGCCATGTCCTCACTGTTGCACTCAGGTGACTTTTGTCCCTCCAACTGATCCCCAGCTTCACTGCCACAGCTACAGTCCAGGCCTTTATCCTCACTCATCTCAACTTCTGCATTAGCCTGACTGGCTACAAAACCCCTGCTTCCACTTTTGCCTTCCTGTGAGCCATTTTCTACAGAAGAGTGCAGGTGATCTAGAAACATCAGCTAGACAGAGCGACTGCCTGATTAAAACTCCCCCATAGCTTCCGGCTTCCCTTATTTTTTGCCATGGCTCTGAAAGGTCCTCACGTCTGTTCTACTCCTTCCCTCACGCACAAGTTCCAGCTCCACTCGCCCTCCGCGCCCTGCACATGCCAGAGTCCTTTCCACTTCAGAGAGTCTGCACTTGTCAGTCCGTTGCCTGAAGTCCTCCACCTCCCGCC